GTGTGTATGGGGGCAGTGTGTGTGTATGGGGCAGTATGGGGCAGTGTGTGTGTATGGGGCAGTATGGGGGCAGTGTGTGTATGGGGCATGTGTGTGTGTATGGGGCAGTATGGGGGGCAGTGTGTGTATGGGGGCTGTATGGGGGCAGTGTGTGTTTATGGGGCAGTATGTGTGTATGGGGGGAAATGTGTGTGTATGGGGGCAGTGTGTGTGTATGGGGGGCAATGTGTGTATGGGGTAGTATGGGGGGCAGTGTGTGTGTGAACACCCCACCACCCAGCCTACCTGTCACTGGAGGATGTTGCTGGGGGTCAGGCAGCCATCTTCTGCAGCAGCATGGGCTGCTGCTTTACGGCGGGGTGGGGCTTATCGGCGGGAGGCGGGGCTTTGTTTGGGGGCGGAGCCTTGCTGGGGAGCCAATCAGTGCTCCCTCCAGCCACAGACAGCCCCCAGCACCTCAGCACTGCATTCCCTCGGGCTGTAACAGGCTGTAACAGTCCGAGTGAAGCCCATGGCCAGCAGGTTGCTGGCATTTGGGGGGGCCCAAGGGGGGGCACAGCATGATGTAGGGGGGGCCATGACCCCCTCTGGCCCCCCCCTAGCGACGCCACTGCATAGGAGCAACAGGTTCAACAAGTAGTAGATGTACTGGGGACCTATCCCCTGACAAGCAACCGTTATACTTCCAATCTGTAAGTGTTTTTAATCCCTCATTTGAATTAAATTGTTGTTATACAGTAAGCACTATGGATAGTTGATTCTGATTTTGACATACAGTTGTTTTTTTATAAGCCTTATTTGAAAAAGAATATTGGACATTCTATTCATTCCAAGCACTTGGAATATTGTACTCCCATAGTACTATAATAAACTGCCTGATTATTGCTGCATTGTATTTTATAGCAGCACTCAAACCAGATTGCGATATTTGTATCCAGCATTTGTTTCTTTATTATTACATTTAGAACTATATAGATTTCTATATATTGGGATTGGCCAATCTAATAACATGTGACCTCAAAAGGGGAGGATGCAAAGGACCCACAGGACATTTAAAAGATGTTTTTTGAGGCTACACTACAGCTGACTGAGGAAGTTCATGGATGAGTGAAAACCTTCTTACCCTCAGCTCGCAGCCTCGTTTCGTGTTGTAGGGAACTGCTATATCACTACAAGGGAATGCTATGATCCTCATACTCCCTTGGATAATCACTAGCTCTTGAAAGAGCTGTTCCTGTTACGCTATCTGAAGGAAGAGAGGTTCACTCACTGGAACCTGGAGCCTTGTCGTAGGTCCAGGGTGGGTTGGAGACGGCGAGGCCCCAACCAAGCTGCGGCGATTCGTGGGGTCTGCGGTGCTTATGGTGTCTGTCGTGGTGCTGATGGTCCTTGGTGAGCACTAGGAGCATAGATTGATGGAGAGTCCGTCACACTTACCATCAAGAGACTTATCTGTATTTGTACAGTATTACACATTGGTCGCTTCTCTCCTTTTGTGTATTTCTCTTGGAGAAAACATCATAGAGTGAGTGGTGTGTTGCTGCCCTAAAAGCAAAGAGGCCCATTTTATGGAGCCAATATTTTATAGGCTCCATACCATGCGAGTGGCTCTAGTTATTTATCTACTACTGATCATTATTCTCAAGACCATCTACACTATATATTCTCAATTTTGTTCCTTTTCTTTTCACATGTACCTTCAAGTATGTTATCATATTTAATTTATGGGGTAAGTTAACCCCTGCACATGTTTTATGTATTTATTATTTTAGCGCTCCACTAATTGGTATATATTTTTAAACCATATATTATGTTTGTGTTTAACCCCTTAAGGACACAACTTCTAGAATAAAAGGGAATCATGACGGAATATTTCCGTCATGTGTCCTTAAGGGGTTAAGATTGATTGTGGAGATAGGGGTATTCCACTTTACGTGTTGAGCGGCTCATTGTATAGGCACAATATTGTAACACTAACTACCTCCAAGTAGAGGTAGATTCTGTCTTTTTAAATAAAAATTTAATTTGTCAATCCCGAATTTCGACCTTACACAGGTCCCCCCGTTCCCCCGTGGTGTGGAACACAAATAACTGAGAAAGGCGGAGGACTTAGTGCCCCCCCGCTCTCCCACCCGTGACCAGTGAGTGGGAGCTATTAATATAAATGGGGGGAACTAATGTTTTTATTAATTTAGGGTCCTCACCTGCCACTCATAGGTGGGGACGAGAGGGGCATTAGGTCCCCCCTTTAATTAATTAGGGTCCCCACCTGCCGCTCATTGGTGGGGACCCTAATTAATTAAAGGGGCGACCTAATGTCCCCTCTCATCCCCACCCATGGCGGCGGGTGGGGACCTAAATAAAAAATGGGGGAGGACCTAATGACCCCCCTGGTCTCCACCCATGAGTGGCAGGTGGGGACCCTAAATAAATAATGGGGGGGATCTAATGTCTCCTCCAGGTCACCACCCATGAGCTGTGGGTGCAAACCCTAATTAATTAAATGGGGGACCTAATGTTCCCCCTGATCTCCACCCATGAGGGGTGGGTGGGGACCCAAAATAAATAATGGGGGGGACCTAATGTCCCCCCTGGTCCCCATCCATGAGCGGCAGGTGGGGACCCTAAATATTGGGGGGACCTAATGTCTCCTCCAGGTCACCACCCATGAGCTGTGGGTGCGAACCCTAATTAATTAAATGGGCGACCTAATGTTCCCCTTGATCTCCACCCATGAGGGGGTGGGGACCCTTAATAAATAATGGGGGAACTTAATTATCCCCCCTGGTTCCCATCCATGAGCAGCAGGTGGGGACCCTAATTAATTAAAGGGGGAACCTAATGTCCCCCCTAAACACCCACCCATGAGCGTTGCTCTGACAGGTAAATGAAGAGACTGATGGGTAAGTCTCTACATTTACCTGTCACAGCACTCTGATTGGTTGGCTTGAAATCCAACCAATCAGAGTGCTCTGTGTCATGTTACACAGCCTGGAAAAGTTCTTTGGAAAGTTCATAACACTGTGATTGGTTGCTTTCAATTTGAATTTGCTGCACATGGGTGGGGACCAGAGGGGACATTAGGACCCTGTGTTTATATTAATAGCTCCCACCTACAGGTCATGGGTGGGAGGTGCGGGGGGCACTATGTCCCCACCATTTTAGTTATTTGTGTTCACCAAATAACTAAAATGGGGGACCTGTGCCAATAACTGCCCAGTATCTATTACTTTTAAATTTGTTACGGAGACACGCCCCTACTCGCGGCATGCCACGAGTAGGGGCATGCGGGAAGATTTAATCTCCCTTTTATTAATATGGTGACCCCCATAGGTTTTAATGCGGGGAGGAGGTAGGAATAGTTATTTATTACAAGTAGGGAGCTGGTAGTGCTGCCGGCTCCCTCTTTGTTTTCTTTTGGGAGTGCATGCGCACTGTTATTTCTCCATGCCGTGAGGGTTAATTCCCCAGCAGCAAGGAGTCTTAAATAAACAAAACAAAATGAAAAGGCATTTGCCCTTTCGTTTCGTTTATATTTTGCTTGTAGGGCTTTCATTTACGTTTTAGTAAACGAATACGAAAAAACCCTAATTTTCGGACGAAATCGGAGTCCTACGAAAACAAATGCACATGTTTAATTATTTTATCAAAATCAGAAGATGTTTTTGATAGCTAGTTAATTATTAATGTAAAAGTGAAACTTTATTAAATTGCTGCTTTAGTGTCAAGAATGTTTTTTCCTACTAGCAACAATTGTAAACCACCTGGTTTTCAATTATCAGTGTAATAAAGCTGAATTCCATAGGCAAAACTAATATTTCAATATACATTACTATGCAACAATGCATTTATTATATAATAGCTCATGTCTAACCTAAAATGGATACATTCGTGATAAGATTGAAATGTACTTTGAGAAGCATGAAACAATTTTACTTATGTCTCTATTGATAAAAGTATAAATTCTCGCTGTCTTGAAAGATGTTGCAAACAATCTGAAACACAAGCTGCAAAACAACCGGTAGACGATATTTAATTCTGCACTTGATATTAGCATATCAACCAAAGAAATTGCTACATTTACGGAGTAGCATACTGCTTGTAATAACAGGGAAACATATGATATACCGGTAATTAAATAAGACTGGTGAAATGCCGTAGATATAATATGTAATTAGTTCTACAGTGTTCACTGTCAGGTTCATATGAAAATCTGTATTTCGTCTGCAGGAATGTGATTAGATTATGTCCTAAAATAGACAATTTTCTACACAGACAAAGCCAATAGTGTATAGTCCTAGTGTATTAATTTTAGGGGCATTTACTTATTGTTACAAATGGAAGATTTCATTCATTTTTTTTTTTTTTTTTAAACAAGCCAGACCTTTCCTCTATGCCATGCTAACAACTAATTAATGCTTAAATGAGGTTTATAGTTTCACTTTATAACAATAGTATGTAAACTCACCTGTCAAACCTGTTAATTGAGTCCTGTGCTCATGTACATTTTAAACTCCATAACCTCAGGCAGGAGAATTACTCAGAAATATTGAGTTTTCTCTCTTGTGTGAGTTACTGTATATACTCTTTGTGATTCTGGAAAGCATATGATAAAGAAATTACAGAATACGACCTGAAGTATTCTCATAGTTCCTTATATTCACATTACAATTATTTTAATTGAAATTCATGTTAGTTTTGTGTGCGTTTTGTGTCTAGAAACTACCCTTATTGCAGGAAATAAAGATCCAAAGTTTATTAAATATCAACAAGTTTATTTTTTCGATTTACAAAATGTTTACTTTTTTTGTTTTAATATGAAAATATATGAAAGTGAAAAGAACATTGATCCATGATCCATGTTACAGAAAACAGACAAACATAAACATCATTCACTTCATAAAAATATAAAAACAATTTATAATGCAAAGGCTATATAAGGCACTTTCTGCTTCATTTTATCCGTAACAAACAATGTCTTCTGTTCCGAATCCTTACTCTTACTTTGGCACTGCAATGGAAAACACAAAAATATGTAAGGGACAAAATAGGTCGTATCGATTACAGCTTTTGTTCATTTTGTTAATTTCACACTGTAGTGTAAAGGATCATATTACTATCATCACAAAGTAATCTTTTAAAGAACTAAATACAATTTTATATTAGGAATATATATAATATATAGGAAGCTTGTCCTAATATGAGTGGATCGCGATGGACAGGAAAGCCGTACAATCACTGTGGCCAATACATAAAATTTAATGACTTGGTAAATGGGTGTAAGTCAGTTATGTGAGGGACATTGCAATACTCACCAAATTTGTATGAAGCTTTGAATCCTTTATATTGGATGGAGAAATCAGTAAGAAATTGTAGAAACATTGAATTTCCACTTGAAGTAATAGAACGGGGATATCGAACACCACAAAATTCTCCGATCAGTGGAGAGTCAGCATCTGGTCCATTATATATTGACAGAGAGTCACGGCTGCACATCGAATAGAACATAGGCTCAAGCTCAAATTTGTTTATAGTTAAAGAGATCTATAAGAATCAAGAACAAATAATATGTTTTAGTACCCTGCATGTCACAAAACCCAACGATAGATGCATTATAATGCCAGCTAATTAAGTTAATTCCTCAAATTGTACTTTTCCATCTGCCTTTTGAATCCTGACAATCAAACTTTATCAAACAAGAGCAAATGTATGAGATTTCAAAAAGCCAAATTAATAATTTCACTATACAGAACATTTGTTATATATGATGATAGTAAATTACAGAATTGTAGCCATATTGGCAGAGTTTGAGTGTGAGACCACATGTTGAATTTCAGTTTACAACATTTGTTGCAGCAGCAGAGATTGTTCTGGAGAGTCCACAGTATTTTCCTATAGAGCAATTGCTTATTCCTTCCATGAAAAACATCATACCTTGTACTGAGGAGGAGCGGAAATTATCCATGTACAGTTCAAATTTGGAGGGTAGCCATTCGGGTATCCAGGAGAAGTGAAGTTCTTTGCAGGAGCATAAAACTCACCTCCACATTGTACTGTAAGGGAAGGATTGATTTTAGTAAAGTAGAGTATCATTTCTATATGTTTTAAATATTTTTACTGATTTTAGAAAAGAAGAAAATGGCTAATGTCAATTTAAATTAAATATACAAAGTTAAAAGTAACGTTTAAAATAAATTTTCTTTTAGTAGGAGTAGGTGTAATTATTACAAATGTAGCATTATTTCAAAAGAAAACTATTCAAAAGGACAGCTGGCATATTAATAATGCTAAAGGGAATGAATTACATATGATTTATTTTTTATCTATAGTGTGCACGCAATAATTTCACCTAAAAAGTTCGCTCTTTAACAAGAATAATATCTAGGATAAAACTTGCATGATATATTTAGATATAGCAATAGAAGTGGTAGAAGACACAGTACCTCCTACTGCTAGCTTTGCATATTTTTGCACTTTTTTAAAGGGCATTGCGCCCATCTTTTATAAGACTTCACTCTGGTTTTGCTCTTTTTCTATCCATTTCCCACTGAGATTTACCTTTTGCAACGGTCACAGTTCTACACAGAATGAGACCTTCTCTAATTTAGTTCTACTTATATTGTCAGTTCATTCACAATAAGCTGGATGTAGAGAAAGTGCTGTTTTATCAGCCCTCAAGAAAATCTTCATGTAGAGTTAAATATGACATTTTCTAGTCTATATATTTTTCAAGATATTTAGAACCAAATATAACATAGAAAATGAAACGTATAATTAACAGATTTCCTATATACAACACAATTTTAGTTATATACTTAGAATTATACCGCAATAAAACTTAGTTCACTGTGACTTGTAGCTAAGGAAAATGCTTTTCACCTTTAGTGTAATGTGTCTGATGGATAAGGTCTTGTAAGATGTGCTATAAAATCAAAAATACAATAAGATCACGAAACAAAGGAATGACAGAATTACCTGACTTATAGGTGATATTGAAGCCTCTTCCACTTCCATTCTGGTTAGAGACAAACTCAATGAGCACCTGGCTAGATAACGATGTCATTGGAAGGATCAGTGGCATACCACATGTTTTGTCTAATAGCACAGGAGACGTCTTACTGGGTCCATCATAAATTCTAATATAGTCTGCAGAGCAGCCAATAGAGGACTCAACATCAAGAAAATCTAATTTCAGAACAACCTGCAAATAATAATAAAGAAAAATGAATAATACAATTTTTATAATATTGTGAGGTAAAATTAGTTTACTGATCCTAGAATGTAATCAAAAATAAAAGCAAACAAGGCAGTGTGGCTGTATACCATTAAGGGGGAACCAACAACATATTACAATGGAATGAAATGTACTTTAATGCAAATCATAGTCCCTGACTTTATCCGTAAAGGCTGAATAAGCGGTCACCCCCCTTGAACTTTACTGCAAGGTATCTGGTAATGCAACAGTTAATTACCTGTCCAGATGGAACTCTGATCAGCCAAACACAGTTGCTGTTATTGGGGTAATTATTTGGGTAGTTGGCTGAGGTCACTGTCCCGTTGACATTACTAAGCAGCATTGAGCAGACATCTGCAAGTAGCATAGAAAGAGTGAGATCACGGAAAATTAATGGAAATTTGTTCATTTAGGTATTTTATATCATTTTATTGTATCTGTTCCTCTCCTGTTGAATCTCCCATTTCCAAGAACTATCTCACACATGCAAACAATACCTTAATATCTGTCTGTCGTCATCATCCATATTTGTCTCACTTTCTATGTGCAGGTAGCACAGTGATCCGTTCTAGCTATAACCAATGTTAGCAGATAAAGGAATCACATAATTGATAACTCACCACAATTGTAAAGGGCATTGATTTTAGAAACATCCAGGGTACTAAGTCCATCTCTTTGTCCGATGGGTATAGAAGGGTCAGGCTTAGGGATGATTGTGTCTTTTCCTGATGTGTTACTGAATGCATAGCTACAAAGAAGGAAGACAACCAACTGTCAATAAGCAGGACCTTTTTGTGAAATGTAATGAAAGAACACTCTAAGAACACTGTAATTGTTATGGAGCCAGTAATACGCTTCCACCTGTTTTACCTGTGTTGCCTGCTCTCTGCCGCTAAGCACTGCAGGACTTAGCACAGGAAAACTTACAGAAGTGTCTAGCAGGAGCTTCCAGCTCTCAATATCAATAGTTGAGAGACAACTGGTGTATCCCAAGAAAGATATCAAACTGTTAACAAATTATTTAACTACTTAAATTAGGGAAGGGGCTCCAGGGGACTCCTGGCATTATAACCATTACAGTGTAATATAGTGGTTATGATGCTTTGAGTTTTTGTTTAATTACATTCAGTATTGAAAATCTATGTAGAACAGATAAGAAATCACTGGTACATTCTACACATGGACATCCAGGACATTTGGTATTGTAGTTAGCAATGTACTTCAGAGAGACAGTATGGTACTTACCTGGGATAATGCATCACAGAGTAGTAGTCATATTCCATATTCAGGTTATTCGTGTCTACCTTTTTAAAGTTACCAATATTTTCTAAAAGAGAAAACAGACTTAAATCAATAACTGCTCAATGTTTATAATAGGATGTTTAAGAATGTACCTAGATGATGTGTGGATACAAAGATCTGTATAATTTGTTCCTCACTTCTCCTCAGTATTAACATGCAATGGAGTTAAGCTGAACTTAATTGCAGGGTAAATCTTGAAATAATGGTAAGTTCCTCACTTTTTATTTATTACACTACTTCAGTTAAATGAAATAGTCTTAATTTCATTAAACAAGTGTAAAAGAAATACTTTATTGGCTCTTTGTTTTTTGACTTTTTATGATTTTAGAATTAATAAGTGAGTTACGAAATTTTACTCTTACAGAGATTATGTATTTATGACATGGATTATCACTGCACTGGTTACCTGGTGATATATACTCGGTCATAATGGTAACATAGTCATCACGGTCACTCCGGGAATGCTCATGGTAAAATCCCAGACTATGTTCTAGCTCATGCTGAATTGTCCCTCTGGACATGCAAGTGCTGGAATCCAGATATATATCCTGGGCGATGCCTGTTCTTCCAACAACGGATGCACAACTGATGGTATAAAATAAGGAATCATTATTTATTAAAAGAAATCTAATTATGAAATATTTTTTGAAAATTAGCAGATTTATGCTAGGCATAACTGGAGGTTCGTTCATATATATAGTGTATCAATTAGTTTATATTAAACAACAGAGCATAGGACACACCGAGAACAATAAAGTAATATCCGTGATGTGGAACGTAGTTTTAATTTTAATTTGAGAACAATTTATTGATTGCCTATGTATTAATATGAAAAGGCCCTTCATATGAGCTGGAAAGGTCTGTCTGTCACCTAAGTGAAAATGCTTTAAAACACACAACCTTTGTAAATTACCTTTGGTCTTTCAAATTAGACACTCCCGGTGTATCCCTACATATAAAGAAAGGTTTCAGTACTTACCCTCCTGTTTCCACAATATTCAGGTAGGACACCTCGGTTGTATGATTAACAAATCGCACACAGGTTACAGATTCGATCTCTTGCATGGCATTCTTAAACAGATCCACCTGATCAGTAGCTACACGAAAAAAGGAGATAAGATTCTTCATTTAATCAAAACATCCCTAAATTTATTTAAATATTATAATAACTGAAAAAAACAAGAAAACTCACTGTATTTAGGGGAAAGGCTGTAAGGCACAATGACTGTCCCATTTGAAGATTTTGGCCAGAAACATCCTGCATCTTTCATGGCACTGCGACCCGCTCTGTTTATGATGATATCGCCATCATGTACCGGAATATTAATGTCTGCAAATAGAAGAGAAAAGGATAAAAGACCCCCATTCAGTTACAGTAACTTTACAGCAAAACCTTCAAACCAGGTGTTTTTTTTTCTAGATTAGCTCAGTTTTATTTAATTAATTACTTATTTAATTGACTGTTTAGTATAAATAGGTAAATAAAGTTTCAAGCAATGCTGTGCACATCAAACTCATAAATTATTTTAGGAAGAGGTCTTAGTAAAATAAAGCTCAATTGCAACATACCCTAAGAGCACATGGTGGGATCAGCATTGTCAAAATAAATCCATAAGAAACAACCACTTATCCACATGCATTAACAACTTACCACCACGTAAAGACAAGAGTCTGGCATTACTTTAATTATCTTACGTACCGTAATATTTAGATAGACAGACACGCAGACAGTTAAACAGAGAGAAAGAAAGACAGACAGAACATACCTGCACATTTTGTAGAACTTAAAAAATTGAGAAAGATAGATAAATAGATAGATAAATAGATAGAAGAGATTACTCTGACAGTGAGCATCAATATATCATGTGACTGATAGAAAAATACATGTAGATATTTACTTTTGTTTCCATTAATAATCCGGGTGAATACATCCAGAGTTTCTGTTTTATTTTCATCTGTGTCTGTGGGTAAAAATAGTGTGACAAGGTAAACAAAGATACATTTATTCTAACAGATAATTATATCAATCGTTACATTGGAATTTGGTGGTTTTTCTTGAATCTAAGATGTTTCAGTTTGTTCCAAATATCAATAAGACATAGCACCAGGATGGCTTCCAACCTAATCTGTTTGCTTAGTACATCTTTCCAGTCAGTAATTCTAAGTATTTTGTGCCTCATACTGAAATATGAAAGGTAGATAATCACTTACATTGTTCTTCCAGTTCAGGTGTGATATCCTAAAAAAAAAAATAGTATTGGATTATTAAAAAGTTTAATGTGGCATTTTCATTACCTGGATTTAAGGATTGAAGAGCAGTAACAAAGTCAGCATTTAAGATGTAGAGTGTTACCTGAAATGGTTTTGGTATTGGAATACTTTGTGCAGGCCCCACCACAAAGACCAGTAAAACAATGATGAATGTCAGATCCATGCTTCTTGGTGAAGTGTTGTTATCAGAATGATGCTAACTTGCTACTCTCTCGCTCTATGTGAGTACAGCCTTAGGTGCCCCTTATATTCAACAAGTGAGGGGACATTAACCAATCAGCAGACAGAATGGAAGATCTAAGGCATAATGCATGAGAGACCCTGGGGCCTTGTCCTGTCTTTCACAGGTAGAAACAATAAATTGCTGATGTGAGTATCGCAGGGAGTGTCTTTGGAGCCAATATTGCGTGAGATTAAGTCAGTTTTCACAGTAATACCTCATTATACAGCTACAATTAGAGTAAGACATGTAGAAGGGTCACTTAATTATTATTCTCACCATGTGTTTTAAAGTGATAATTGTTTTATTTAATATGTTATACTGCTCTCACAAGCTTTAAGTAGAATTTATATGTATTTGTATTTTATTTTGCCTTATCCTTGATTGTGATGGATAAATAAATTGGCTTCTACTCTGTATTATATTAAAACTGTACTTATTAGGTATAACCAATAAACCCCAGAATCATGTACATGATTTTAAAAACTGCAAAAAAAAAGTTTTTCTTGTGAATTTAAGAATTTTGTTGGCAGTTGATATTTTTGGGGTCGCAGATCACAAAGACGGTATTACCATTATCCCTCCAGCTCTGCTGAGTGCACCTGCAGGTGTATGGGCCGAGGGGGATATCAAAAGGCCTCGCAACAGTCCCCAAAATGTGTAGCACGAGTACATTATTAGACACCCTCATACTACTCTAGGACCATGCAGAGAGCCTTAAAACAGCGCTCAATGGACTGCCCTGTGTAATTGGCCTGGGACACTTTCTGGCATATCAATGTTTGGGAGTATAGATCTATAGATCTACAAGCTTGGTTCTGCCCTGCTCTCAGAGCAGGTCTGTACCCCCACACTGGCATCCCCCCAAACCAAAAGGGATGTGGACTGGAGTCTCCCCACACACACAGTCTCCACAATCACACAACCCCCATGCTCACCTTGCCTCACTCAGCCCCATAGATATACCACACTGCCAGCCCCCAGAGTAAGCCTGTAAAATCCATCCCCCCACACAGATATATACCCCCAAACATTTTTCCTGTGTAAGTCACTTTGTCACTTAGTAAGGTTTACTAATCTGAGTTGCCATATTGGACAGTATTGTAAATGTACAGCTTAAGTGTAATACATTTCCTGGAATAAAGCCTTCAAAGTAGCAATAACATTAGATACTCCAGGCCAGCCCTATGTTCATCAAAGGAAAAATTGAAAATCTGCCATTGCTCATTTACCACCAATGACAGCAGTTTGTGGTGGCATTTTAGTAGTTGCTGTGGGTAAATCCCTGTTGCCACTTGTGAAATTGGCAAGTATTGAACAGCGACGAATTGCTAAACGTAGTAGGTACTTTAGTGATAGGTACTTTAGCAAGTAACAGCTGGCAGGTAAAAAGTACCAATGACTGTAGATGTCTGGAGCTAATGAACTTAATTTCCACACAGAATTTTCTTAATTCAGGGCTTGTCAAATCCCAGGTGCCAGGTCGCCATGGCGATTAGAAATTTCGCCCTGACACCTGGGATTTGTCAGCCCGTTAGTTAAAGGGAACAATGAAGCAGCCGGCCAGCTGAGGCAGCAGGCGAAGAGGCAGTAATATTTAAGAAGCTCCTCTCTGCTCCCTCGCGCTGTTTAGTGATGCCGGGAGCCGGAATATGATGTTACTCTGGCATCACTACAGAGAGGGTGCAAAGGTAGGGAGGCTGGATTGACCTAAATGAAAACAAACATGTCTATGTCTATTTGTGAGTGTGTATATGTGTGTCTGTCAGTGTGTGTATGTGTGTCAGTCAGTGTGTGTGTATGCATGTCTCTGTGTATGTCTGTAAGTGTGTGTTTGTGTGTGTGTCAGAGTGTGTGTTTGTGTGTGTCTGTCTGCTTAGGTATTTGCCCCCGATCACATGTGAAAGGTGATTTTATTCACCTTTTATCCCACGCTGTGCCAGTTTCGCCACAGCTGGTCCCGCCTCCATGGCTGGGATCATCAATCTTTATGATCTCAGCTAAGCCAATGTTTTCCCATAGGAAAGCATTGGGAGGATATTGCGCATGTTATGTATGGGTAACATTCTGCACCTACATGCAGAGCATGGAGACACTGAACATAGGTGCTGCACACCATGCTCCTATACCTGTTCCAAGCCCTACCAATTCCAATTCGGAGTGCCGACTTCAAATTGCTACAACCCACAATCGACAAATTCATCTGGTCCAACAGATGTGCCAGGATAAACCGTCAAACCCTTTATGTACCGAACAGAGCCTAGGCTTACCACACCTTACCCTATTACTACCAGGCAGCCCAATTAACGCAAGCCCAAAACTGGCACGCACTGTACGTAGTCAAACGATAGGCAGACCTAGAACATGACATCTTCGGCAGAGACTTCCCCTCCCTATATATATGGCTACCAAAATCAGCGAGACCCCCCCTGCCCCGAACATCCCCGGCAATACTCAACACCATAAACATTTGGGACAAAACAACTCAAAAAAGCGGTCTCTCAACACAACACTCACCAATAACCCCGCTGCTCCACAACACACAATTCCCACCGGGCATGACACCCAAAGACTTTGCCCGCTTTGAAGCAAACGACCTCACCCGACTATACCACTTCTATAGAAACCAACAACCAATACCTTTCTCAGACCTCCCACAAACCACACCATACCACACCTTCGACATGTTCCGCCACATCCAAATCAAAAGCTTCCTGGAAACACCAGCAATCAAAGAAGAAGGTACTAAAGCACTCACACCCTTCGAAAAACAATGTATAAAATCACCAACACAAAAAGGCCAAATATCTGCACTCTATACACACATAATTCAAAACGTCAAAGACTGAGCCCTTACATATGTGTCGGCTTGGGTGAGGGATATAGGTCCGGCGGAGGACCCATCTGATAGAGCCGAGATCTGGGAGGCCACAGCCTCCATATCTATATGCATCAACCATAAGGAACAGGCATACAAGACGCTAATGAGATGGTATCTCACCCCCTAAAGCTCAAACAGATGGGCAGGTCAGACACAGACTCTTGCTTGAAGTTATGCGGACAAAAGGGTACATACCTTCACATGTGGTGGGACTGCACACCCACAGCACAACTCTGGCAACAAGTAGCTTCCATGGTATCGAGAATCCTCCACACAGATATATCACTAGACCCCTGGACGTGACCTATCCAAACCACTAACCAACACACCCAGGGCCCAAAACAAATTAATAGCCAAATAGCCAAATTAATAGCCAAATAGCACTAGCCACCAGGAGAGCCATAGCAGAAAAATGGGGCAGCCCAGACACCCCATCAATGGACACAGTAAACCGCAAGATAAAAGACGCAATTAAAATGGACGAAAGGTCCGCAATGGTCCACGACACGACCAAACACTTCCATAAAATCTGGGACCTGTGGTTCTACGAATTCCCACTCCCCACCTGAAACACATACAGACCCACCCCACACAGAGTCACACCACATACACTCCATCCACAAACACCACATTGAATCACCATCCTCCCCCCCCCACACCTGCAGAGACGCAATCCCACAGATTCAAACCACAACCCACGACCACCAAAACCGAGAGAATCATCATGCAACATCTTCCTGGAGATTGATCACAACCCCCAAACTAGGACTCACCGCAACACACTCAGGGAGACTGAACTCAACCGAGGTACCAAGAGGCTGCAAAAAACAGCTCGACCTCCACTAACACACAACAGAATCACCACAACACAAGACAAAACGAACAAAACCATAACCCAGAACAAAACGGGGCACCCAGAACACACACACGTGAACCAAAATAGACAGGGCGACACCACCCATGGGTCACAAATCCTGGGCACCACATGACAAATAACGCAAAGCACAAATCAACATGGACACCACCTTACGCAAAAGGCTCACATAGGTAAAAAATAAATAAAATAAAGGCACAAAGGAAAATGTGCGTGATAGTGTACCCAACACCCCCACCCTTTTTCTTTCTGTACCCCACCCCAACCCCAAGACAATGATGACAGACATGCAAAACTGTTAAGCTTGGTCAAATGCCATGTTAAAACATGTCAGCTCTGCGAAACTTGTACTAAAACTATATCCCCAAGTTTTCATTTCTGTACCCCCACCCCAAACAACAAAATCTTCCAAAATAAAGAATTTATAAAAAAAAAATATCCCATGGTAAATATCCTGTATCTCTCTCTCTCTCTCGTGGAAGGCTTATGAAATGTATGATCATTTACTGTAACTAAGCCCCCATTGTTTTTTGCCTAGGTCTGTGATACTTGAAATCACTGTTTAGTGAATTAGTGAGTGCACTGGATTTTGTATGTTTCATATATATATATATATATATATATATATATATCCAGGGCCGGTGCTTGGATTTTTAGGTACATAGGCGAAGATGCATTTCTCCCCCCCCCCAAAAAAAAACATCTTCACCTATGTGCCTCTTAATCAGCCCCTCTCCCCTCCCTGACCATTAGTAGTCCCTTCCCTTCCCTGTCCCTTAGTGTTCTTCTCCCCTCCCCCCTCTTTTCCCTGTCTCTTGGTGTTTCTCTCCCATTCCCTCCCTGTCCCTTGGTGCACCCCACACCCCTTTAGTGGTCACACTCCCCTTCCTGGTGTGCCTCCTACCTCTATTGTTGTATTGTCGAGTGGAGCAGATCCCCTAAAGGAGCTTCAGTTTTCTGTACCCGGCCGGACTGACAGGGAGTGCTCTCTCTGTGAGCACCTCCTGTCAGTCTGGCCAGGTACAGGAAACAGACGTTCCTGTACCGCGCTCTGCTCCGCTACACTCTGTACACACTGACAGTCACACACTCAATGACAAACACACAGACGTCACTGACAGACACAGACTCATTGATCTGACACACACTCATTCATTGACAGTGACAGACCCACACTGATTGACACTCATTGACAGACACCCTGATAGTCACACACAGACTCAATGACAAACATACTCTCACTGATTTGACATACACACTCATACACTCACATGCACACACACTCATACAATCACTCACAGACACACACACTGTCACTCACACACACACACTGTCACTCACACACACTGTCACTCACAGACACACACACTTTGTCACTTACACACACTTTGTCACTTACACTCACAGACGTACACACTTTGTCACTCACACACACTGTCACTCACAGACGTACACACTTTGTCACTCACACACACTGTCACTCACAGACGCACACACTTTGTCACTCACACACACTGTCACTCACAGACACACACATTGTCACACACACACTGTCACTCACACACACACACACTGTCACTCACAGACACACACACACAGTCACTCACAGACACACACATCACTCACAGACACACACACTCTGTCACTCACAGACACACACACACTGTCACTCACAGACACACACTGTCACTCACAGACACACACACACTGTCACTCACAGACACACACTGTCACTCACAGACACACACACACTGTCACTCACAGACACACATCACATACATTCACTAATTATTTTATAAATACATATTTTCCACCCAGCCTCCCTACCTGGAGAGCTGGTGTGGATGATGTATCTGTCCCTGGGGCTGCTGGGAGGCGTGCAGCAGTGCTGTGATCAGGCGCGGCGAGGGAGCTCTAATCTCCACCCTCTGCTCCCTCGCGGGCTGCCTACTGATGCTGCGGGAGCCGGGTTGATGACGTCATATTCCGACTCCCGCAGCATCAGCAGACAGCGCGCGAGGGAGCAGAGGTTGGAGATTAGAGCTCCCTCGCCGCTCCTGATCACAGCACTGCTGCGCCGGGGGTTGAGATTATGGCCTGGCAGGAGGGAGAGCTTCTCTCCTGCCGGACACTGAAATATTGCGCCCCCAGAGCCCGTGCGCCCTAAGGCGGCCGCCTGTGCCGCCTTATGGACGCGCCGGCCCTGTATATATCTTTTGTGTGATGATTTAGTTTTCTGGGATTACCATTAAAGGAACACAATAGTGCTAGGAATGCAAACATGTACATTTAACACTACAGTGCTTTTTTAATTAGTTAGATTACTGGCTCTCACTTCTGTGTGGAACGGAAGCGGCTGGTAGAACACACGGAACCCTAACTCATTGTCAGCTTTACTTCTCATCTCCATGGACTTCAGCTCTTTCGATACAGAGCTGGCATAGGAGCAGTGGTGTCTCTAGGATTCATTTTTCAGGGGGGCACATGGAGGGCCAGTGACAAAAGTAGGGGGGCACATTTAACCCCGCCCTTGTCGCAGTTTTACCCCGCCCCTGTTGCATGTTAAGCCACGACCCCGACACAATGTGTTTTGTTTTTTTAATAATACCTGGTGGAGGATTCATTATTTTCCACCAGGGATTTTTAAAAAAACAAACACATTATCCTTGATACAGTGCCATAGTTGCCAACATTTGAAAACAAATTTCCAAGGACATTTTGCAGCACAGCTATCAATTACTGTCTGTGTATAATATCCCTGGACAGTCAGTGCTCTCTGTATAATACAGGGTTGTGTGTATAATAAATTGGGACACTCAGTGCTCCCTGTATAGTGCTGCTCTCTGTTTAATACAGGTCTGTTTGTGTATAATATCCCAAGACAGAGAGCAGCACTATACAGGAAGCACTGACTATTCCGGGATATTTTATACACACAGATCTGTATTATACAGATAGCTGAGCATAAACCCCAATCTCTAGACTACTAGTACCTGTCAACAGCAGCTCCCAGACACGTGTAACAGGGCTAAAGTGTGCGGCAGCTCACACAGATTATTCAGCGGTAAAGTGCACTCGCTGGCAGAGCCAAACTGGGAGTCCCTGGGAATCCAAAGCAGCCCTGGAAAAAAACCGTAAAAACCTCATTTTTAATCTTTAGGTATTTTATGTTATTTTAAAAGATTTCCCTATCCACATTTGTTTGCAGGGCACTTGTCGTACTCTTACCGCCATTTTACTTCCTTTTGCAGCCGTCTAGCCCTTTCCAGGACTTTTTTTAGCGGCATTTTTGGGTCCAATGACTTCAATGGGGTTCGGGTTCGGGCCAAGTTCGGGGTCAAGTTCGAGCCCGAACCCGGACTTTTTTTCAAAGTTCGGCCGGACCCGAACATCCAGGTGTCCGTTCAACTCTAATAAGGATCTTTATAAGGAATTAGAAAAAGATCAAATTTTAGAAATGATTGGATCTTTGTCTGCACTTTTGAACAGGGAAAAATAGGAAGGCGTCTTGAATGATTAACAAATTAAATTTTTTATTACAGGAATTTCTGAGATTTCTGACCTTTTATACCCTGCCCAAGGTGCATAAAAGTATAAATAGCCAACCTGTTAGACCTATAGTATCATGTATAAGTTCAATATCAGCTAACCTTTCAAAGTATGTAGACATTTGGCTACAAGACTTGGTTAAGTCAATACCTTCATACTTAAAAGATACAACAGATGTTAATACAATTGTTAACAATTTAAAATGGGAAAAGACATATTTTTTGGTGACCTCATTGTATAAGCCTATCCCACATGCACTCTGTTGCAAAGTAATAAGAGAATTTTTGAAACATTAGGGCAAGTTTTCTACAGTTCATATACATTTTTTAATTGATAGTATTTTTTTGATTTTTAGTAATAATTGTTTTATTTTTAATTCAACATTTTATTTACAGTGTCAGGGTACAGCTATGCAGACCAGTTTTTCCCCTAGCTACGTCGCATTGAGAACACATTTTTATATATGACAACCCGGCATGGTGGGAAAACCTTGTCTCCAATCAGGGTATATTGACAATTTGTTTTATTTATGGAGTGGACCTATCCCTGATCTGGAAGTTATTTTAAGCAATCTAAAGTCAAATTAGTGGAAACTACAATTTACTAGTTGTTTTAGTATTTCTTATTGTGGCAAACCTAGCCACTCGGACTATAACTGGACACTATGCCTTTAAGGGTTGCCTATAGGTCTGGAGAGAAAGGCGTTGTAACTGTATGTGCCTGCTTCATGTATTCCCTGCATTGCCTGTACCTATCTGTTCCGCCGAATGCAAATGGCGGTTTGTATGGGGATTCCCGTTCGTTTTGCGAACGGCACTTTGGAGGGCCGTTCGTGAAACGAATGCGATACCCCCTAATAGCCCACACACTTAGAGGCGTGTGGCGCTAGTTAACCGATTGCAACATTGTTAACCATCTACAGAAATGTTTAACCGGCTGTTCGCCGATGTACAGGAGTACATTATGGCTAGGGGACCGCCAGGAAACCAGCAAGCCAGAGAAAGAGCCGCAACGCCAGTCCATATTTTCCCAGGGAAAACCAAAATCCCATATCAAGCCTTCAAAAGCTATGTGGAGACAGAGGGTGGCGTTGACGACTATTTACAGGATTTCGAGAGACTGTGTTTGCTGCACGAAATTAATGATGCAGACAGAGTACCCCTACTAGCGGGGAGATTATCTGGGCGAGCCGCCGAAGCGTACCGGGCAGTACCAGACGAGGATAGTAGAGACTACGCTAAAGTAAAGCGGGCCATCCTAGCCCGGTATGCCATCACATCAGAGGCATACCGAAAGAAGTTTCGGGACATTAAAAAACCCAGTAAGGACACCCATGTGGAGTGGGCGCACCAGCTACAACGAGCTGCCAAAGGGTGGCTGGAGGCCGCCCAAGTTGATACATTGGAAGGTCTGTTCCAGCTAATGGTACTGGAACAATTCTTCAATGGCGTCCCGACCTACCTACAAAACTGGATCCGGGACAGAAAGCCACACACCCTGCAGGAAGCGGCTAATATGGCAGACGATTTCCAGGACAATCGGAGAGATCAACCCATACCCACCCGAGCCACCATCCCCCCTACAACGGCCAGCCCTCCAGGGGGCCCCACAACGTACCAGCGACCAGGGGTAAACCAGAATTCCTACCCCCCCAGATATTCAGCACGTCCACCAATCCGGTGCCATACCTGCAACCAACAGGGACACATCCAGAGAGACTGCCCACGGAACCGGCCTCGACCCAGCTGGAATAACGCCGCCCCGAGCAACCGTGCCGCAGTCCACTGTCTACAGGCCGAATCCTACCAAAATCTGGAGTTGGGGACGACCCGGGAGGAACCCCTCGGTACTCTACACGAGGTGAACCCTATCCAGGCCGCCTCCGATAACCGCCAAGGACACCGCCAGGAAGTACACATGGAAGGGAGGAAAGTACAAGGACTTCGTGACTCGGGAGCTACCCTAACTCTAGTACGCAGTCATCTGGTACCAAAGCCCAAGCTCACGGGGGACTGTGTGGCTGTACGGGTGGCTGGGGGAGCCATTTACAAAGTACCCACGGCCAAGGTGCACTTGAATTGGGGAGCGGGGCACGGGAATGTATATGTGGGGATGATGCAAGACTTGCCAGCGGATGTGATTTTGGGCAACGATTTGGGGGAGCTGACTTCGGCTTTTGTTCCACAGCCCACCGTACAAGAAGCATACCCAGTTGTGACCCGGCAACAGGCCCGCACCACTGCACCATTCGAACACTCTGAGGCTCAGGTAAGCAATGACCCTCCCCTACCCCCTATCCTGCCCTGGGCCAATTCCATAGAGTTCGGGGCCGAAGTAGCCCTAGATCCTTCGTTACAGGTGTACAAAGACCGCATGGATAAAAATCAAGCTGGGTTAGAGGGGGAAAGATATATCTGGGACAAAGGGCTACTATATCGGCACGCAGAGAAGGTAGTGTCCGGGTCAATACCGTTGCCCATTAAACAGCTAATAGTGCCTCGAAAGTATAGGTTAGAGCTGTTACGCATAGCCCATGATATCCCTCTGTCTGGACACCTAGGCATCAGTCGGACCAAGCACAGGCTGACCCAAAATTTCTTTTGGCCAGGTATTTCCCAGGATATTAAGCGGTATTGTCAGACCTGCGATACCTGCCAAAGGGTAGGCAAGAGGGGGACAGATACAAAGCCCGACTACGGTCTCTGCCCATCATTGAAGAACCATTCAGTAGGGTGGCAGTAGACATTATAGGTCCCCTCGCAAAACCCAGCCCCTCCGGCAAGAAGTATGTCCTAACTGTGGTGGACTACGCCACCCGGTATCCCGAGGCAGTGGCCCTAACGAACGTACACGCAGAAACGGTAGCCGAAGCCCTGATGAGGATATTCACCCGGGTAGGATTTCCCCGGGAGATTATCTCCGATAGAGGCACCCAGTTTACTGCTGAAGTGACCCATCAGCTCTGGAAAATATGTGGGATACAACAAATCCTCAACTCCCCATATCACCCCCAGTCCAATGGGCTCTGTGAACGGTTTAACGGAACCCTGAAACAAATGATCCGCACGTTCATGGACACCCAAAAGGACTGGGAGCGGTTTTTACCCCACCTACTGTTCGCGTATCGAGAGGTGCCGCAAGAATCCACCGGATTCTCTCCGTTCGAATTATTATTCGGGAGGAGAGTGAGGGGACCTCTTGACTTGATACGGGAGCACTGGGAAGGAGACGAAACCGTTAATGGCACCCCTATCTTACCATATGTGCTCGAGTTCCGGGAACGCCTGGAGAGGCTAACCCAGACCGTCCGAGACAATCTCCAGGTAGCGCAACAACGACAGCGCCGATGGTATGATAAGGGAGCCAGGGACCGCAGCTTTCAAGTGGGGCAGAAAGTCCTAATCCTGCGACCCGTCCACAAAGATAAGCTGCAGGCTTCCTGGCAGGGCCCATACAAGGTGGTGGAACAGATCTGTGACACCACCTATGTGATCGGCCCGGTTACCGGCGTGGGAGGCAAACGCATGCTCCATGTGAACATGCTCAAGCCATACCACGAACGTACTGAGGAAGTCACCGCAATCTGTGCCCCTGCCACGGAAGATTTTGATAACCTACCCCTACCCGATCTCCTAGACCAAGAGGGCCAGAGCGGAGATCTGGGAGAGGTACAGTTAGGAGAAAGATTAAATACCCAAGAACGGGCACAGGTACAAAAGCTGCTTCAGGAAAAGAAGGCCACGTTTTCCAATTTACCCGGCTATACCCCGTTGGCTACCCATAAGGTAGAAACGCTAGATCCGACCCCCTTGCGCCAACCCCCATACCGCACTCCAGAAGCAGTCAAGGAAAATATGCGCAAGGAAATTGAGGAGATGATTCAGCTAGGAGTAATAGAGCACTCGGACAGCCCCTGGGCCTCCCCGGTAGTACTGGTGCCGAAACGGGACGGGACGACCCGTTTCTGCGTAGACTACCGACGGCTCAACGATAAAACGACCTCTGACGCATATCCCATGCCCCGAATAGACGAACTCCTCGACAAGATGGCCAGGGGTCAATACCTAACCACTATAGACTTGTGCAAAGGGTACTGGCAGATTCCCTTAGCGGAAGACGCCATCCCTAAGTCGGCTTTTGTCACCCCGTTTGGCCTGTATCAGTTTAAGGTTATGCCATTCGGGATGAAAAACGCTCCAGCTACCTTCCAGAGAATGGTGGACAGACTGTTAGATGGGTTCCAGGAGTATGCCTGCGCGTATCTAGATGATATCGCCATATTCAGCCACTCCTGGCACGAACATCTGGTTCACATAGGAGCCATTCTAGACCGAATCCGAGAGGCCGGACTGACCCTAAAACCCAGCAAATGCCATATCGGTATGGCGGAAGTCCAGTATCTGGGACACCGGGTAGGGAGTGGGCAACAGAAACCCGAACCTGCTAAAATAGAGGCAGTCGCCCAATGGCCTACCCCTCGCACCAAGACCCAAGTGCTCGCCTTTCTAGGGACCGCCGGGTACTACCAGAAGTTTGTGGCCAACTATAGCGCCCTCGCCAAACCCCTCACAGACCTGACCCGCAAGAACCTCCCTAAGTTAGTAGTCTGGGCCCCAGAGTGTGAGCAGGCGTTCCAACAGCTCAAGACGGCGCTGGTTAACTCTCCTGTACTTTCTGCTCCTGATCCAACTAAACGCTTTCTCGTCCACACAGACGCTTCTATGTTTGGATTGGGAGCAGTACTGAGCCAAGTTGGACCCGATGGCGGCGAGCACCCCGTAGCTTACCTAAGCCGAAAACTTTTACCCAGGGAAGTAAGCTACGCCGCCATTGAAAAGGAGTGCCTGGCTGTGGTGTGGGCCCTCAAGAAGTTGCAACCCTACTTATACGGGCAACCCTTCACTTTACTCACGGATCACAACCCGTTGGTGTGGCTGAACAGGGTGTCCGGAGACAATGCCAGGCTGCTGCGCTGGAGTTTGGCGCTGCAGCCTTTTGACTTTACTATCCACTACCGCCCTGGGAAGCAGAATGGCAACGCCGACGGGTTGTCTAGACAAACAGACTTGGAGCCGTGATTCGTGAGTACTCCTCCGGACATCCCCAAGCCGATCCGTTGGGATCAGACTGTGTATGCCGGCTTGGTTCTGGGGGAGCATTGTGGCAAACCTAGCCACTCGGACTATAACTGGACACTATGCCTTTAAGGGTTGCCTATAGGTCTGGAGAGAGATGCGTTGTAACTGTATGTGCCTGCTTCATGTATTCCCTGCATTGCCTGTACCTATCTGTTCCGCCGAATGCAAATGGCGGTTTGTATGGGGATTCCCGTTCGTTTCGCGAACGGCACTTTGGAGGGCCGTTCGTGAAACGAATGCGATACCCCCTAATAGCCCACACACTTAGAGGCGTGTGGCGCTAGTTAACCGATTGCAACATTGTTGCAATCGGTTATTAGAGGCTCTCCTGGGTGGCCGTCGTTCGACTACCGACCATGCGGCGGTCGGCCATCTTGGATCCCTGGTTCTTCAGCGGGTCCGTGTCGTCGAACGCATAGCATTACCAACAGTTATTCGACGGCACGAACACCGCTGAGCCTCCAGGACGTTCGGGAGTTTCAGGACCAGGTTCACTAAAAGCAATCGGTTCTTTTCGTGGGTTTGGAAAGAAATGTGTTTTCTGTGCGGCGTTCGGTTATTTTAGCTGGGATCTGAGCGGCAATCTCACGAATGATGCGCCCAGACCCCAGCTATCTACCGAACGTCCATTCGTGTAAATCCACCGTATATTATACCAGTTGTAGATTTTTGTGTGAATTGCCGGTTCTGCTGCACGAGGGGATAATCCCCTTAACGGTGCATTCTGGGAGGATGATCCCTCTCGTGCAGCGGTGCCTGATGGGAGAAATATGTGGTACTGTAAGTCCCCCATGTAGTCCCCTCCTGTACAACCCCTGTAATGTCAGTTTGGAAACCCCTTGCATGGGGAATTGCATAAATACTGTGACCTGTGATTAAAACCTCAGTTGACTCCCAGCCTATGTGTCGTCTAGTTCTTGGGAAGGAAGGGTTACTGCAGTGCTGTTTGGATTATTATATGCTGATTCCCTGGATTATCCTTTGTTGTTCCTGTTACCCAGCGGAGATATCGTGGATCATACTGCCTCTCCGCTACACTTATATAAACTTTTTAGATTTCGATAGTTATGTCTAGGATTCTTCCTAATAAATCTTTTATTACCTTTAAAGGAGCGCCTAGTTTTAAACAAATTTTAACTTTTAACCATCCTAGAAAGGAAAACCAAAGTACTTTTTTAAGTAATCATAAAAAAAGGCTTTTATTCGTATTGTAAATTTGCAGGTTGTTATTGTAGTAAAAATAGAACGTTAAAAGGATAAAATATAAAAATTAGATTTTTTTTATTAATAATATTATTAGTTGTTATAGCAAAATTTCTTTGCCTCCAGAGCAGCTTTGGGAAGAATTCCCTTAAATTACAGAAAATAGACGAATTAGGTTGATATGTCAGGTTGATTAAGTAACCAATCAGAGTGTTATGAGTCAAATTACACAGCGTTACATTGAGATTCCAAAGAACTTTCCCACGCTGTGTAAAATGACACAGAGCACTCTGATTGGTGGATTTAAAGCCAACCAATTAGAGTGCGGTGACAGGTTAATGGTGAGACTTACATGTCAGTCTCTTCATTTACTTGTCAGAGCACTTTGATTGGATGGCTTAAACCCACCAATCAGAGTGCTCTGAGCCTAATTGCAGGGCGGGGCAAGGCTTTATAAGCCATCTCTCGCCCTACAGAGCTCAGTCTGCGTGGAGCCCTCCATGGGTGAAAATGGATTATTATTTTTTTTGCGTTTTTTTTTTTTTTTCAGTTGGTTATTATAGATTTTTATTTGGCCTTTTTTGGGGGCTGAAAAAAGAAGATTTTAGAAGAAGAAGAAAGAAGACATCAAATGGTAAGTCTATTTTTTTTTTTACAGGTATTTAGATAAGGGTACCCCCTCATTATTTTTAGGAAGAGGGGGGTAGGTAGGGGTTATTTTTTGGGGGTCAGGGGGGTGAGGGGGGGTTACATTTTTATTTAGTGCCCCCACCCGCTACTCAGGGGTGGGGCCAGGGGGGGAGGACAGTAGGCCCCCCCACATTCTTATTTATGGCCCCCACCCACCGCACAGGGGTGGGGGCCGGGGGGAGGACAGTAGGTCCCCCCCAATTTTATTTATGGCCCCCACCCACCGCTCAGGGGTGGGGGCTGAGGGGAAGGACAGTAGGTCCCCCCCATTTTTATTTATGGCCCCCACCCACCGCTCAGGGGTGGGGGCCGGGGGGAGGACAGTAGGTCCCCCCACATTCTTATTTATGGCTCCCACCCACTGCGCAGGGGTGGGGCCAGGGGGGGAGGACATTAGGTCCCCCCCAATTTTTATTTATGGCCCCCATCCACCGCTCAGGGGTGGGGGCCGGGGGGAGGACAGTAGGTCCCCCCCACATTCTTATTTATGGCCCCCACCCACTGCGCAGGGGTGTGGCCGGGGGGGAGGACATTAGGTCCCCCCCAATTTTTATTTATGGCCCCCACCCACCGCTCAGGGGTGGGAGCCAGGGAGAGAGGACAGTAGGTCCCCCCCACATTCTTATTTATGGCCCCCACCCACCGCGCAGGGGTGGGGGCCTGGGGGGAGGACAGTAGGTCCCCCCTTATTGTTATTTAGGGCCCCCACCCGCCGCACGGGGGGGGTCAGAGGGGAGGACAGTAGGTCCCCCCTTGTTATTTAGGGCCCCCACTCGCCGCGCAGTGGTGGGGGCCACGGGGGAGGATAATAGGTCCCACCTATTGATATTTAGGGCTCCCACCTCCCTCCTTCTTTCCCTCAGGGGTGGGGGCCAGGGAGGAGGACAATAGGTTCCCCCTTATTGATATTTAGGGCCACCGCTCAGGGGTGGGGGCCGAGGGGGACAATAGGTTCCCCCTTATTGGTATTTAGGGCCCCCACCCGCCGCTCAGGGGTGGGGGCGGGGGGGCAATAGGTTCCTCCTTTAGTTTAAAAGCCCCCACTTGCGCATTGTGGGTGGTGGCTCAGGAGGGGGAAATTTTTATTTTTTTAAACAGTGAGCAGTCACTGGCTGCTCACTGTTTAATAGACATGCACCTACTCGCGGTATTTAATAATACTACGTAACCAGCTTACTTAATACTAAGTAACCAGCTTATATAGAGGCTGGGTCACATGTTGCACTGGCCAATCACAACCATGCCATTAGTAGGCATGGCTGTGATGGCTGCTAAGGGCACACGAGTCAAACGCTTGTTGATTGGCTGCCCTGCAGCCTTTCAAAACGCATCATTAAATCGCTGAACACCGAACTCCAATCTGAACATACAGTGATATGTCCGTGTTCGGGTCCGGGGTCCAAAAAACATAATGTTCGGTACTAACCCGAACTTTGCGGTTCGGGTTCGCTCACTCTAATTAGTAACAAATTTGCACAATACATATACAGACCTCTACAACCTCAAAGATGATGAAAATACACACCAACCAATAGAGGCTTGAGACCATACAAGCCTACCTACATGGCACTAGCCTTCCCACCTTCACCTCACAACAAAAGACGGATCTGAAAGCACCTATCTCTGTAGAGGAGGTCCTGGCAGCAATAGGAACCCTAGCAACATGAAAATCCCCAGGCCCAGATGGGTTTGACAGTTCATACTATAAAACTTTCCTGCATTCGCATCTAACACAAATATATACAGAGGAAATCACTGGTCAGCCCCTACACAAAAAAATACTCATGGCACATATTGTAACCCTACCCAAGCCTGGCCAACCACCAACCCAACTACAATATTTTAAGCTGATCTTACTCCTGAACTCAGACACAAAACTTTTTGGTAAGATATTTGCCCTTAGACTGAGTAAAATCCACCCCACATAATTCATACTGACCATGTTGGTTTTGTATCAGGCCGACAAGGATCAGAGAACACACTCAAATTCCTAGATATCATCTACAGCATGAAATAACTTAACATAGGTGGGGGATTGATTCTCTCACTGGACAAAGAGAAAGCCTTTGACCATCTCAATTGGAGATTCCTGGAGGTGGTCATGGTCAAATTTGGGATACCAGAGGGTTTCTTAGCAGTTGTTAGAGCACTTCAGAGTTCACCCTCGACAAGGGTGCTCATTGAAGGATTCCTGTCCGTTCCATTTTTTGTTACTAACTGAACGAGGAAAGGGTTCCCGCTGTCACCCTTACTCTATGTCATGGCACTGGAACCACTTGCATCTATAATTAAGAACAACACTGCCATTCATGGAGTCCCAAAAGGGGGCCGTGAATATAAAGTCAACCTATTCGCAGAAGACATCCTCCTCACCCTAACACAGCCACAAAATTCATACTAAAAACTAAATGTGTCCAAAACACAGGCCATGGGGATAGACATTACTGAAACAACACTCACTACACTCCAAGCAAATTTTAACCTAGCTTGGAGATCTAACTATGTATTTTATTTGGGACTTCAAATCTCTCATCACTCAGACCACCTATTCAAATTTAACTATGAAAAACTACGTGGAGAAATGGACATGACCCTACAGTCTTGGGAGGTTAAACACCTTTCATGCATGGCCGGCACTTTAATTATAACTCTGCTCTCTTAGCCCTTCCTCATGGCTAACCCCGCCTCTCCTCGCCCCCAAACATTTTAACCCGTGCCCCAACCTGCCTCTGCCCCCTGCTCCCAAGATCCTACAGTCACCAAGTCCTTTGACGAGATGAACTGGTCTTCCATGTAATGCCGCCCTGTCCTGATCCTGCTTAGCCTGTGGGAGGGAGCAGACACAGACTGGAAGCGTATAGCTGGGCTGATTCCTGGGCAAGCCCCCACCTGAGTATGTGAGGGATGGAGGAGTGCAGCTTGCTTTGTGCATGTGTGAGTGTTAGGCAGTGTGTGTGTGTGTGTGTGTGTGTATTAGGCAGTGTGTTTGTTAGGCAGTGTGTGTCTATTAGACATTGTGTGTGTATGTATTTGTGTTAGCCAATGTGTGTCACAAGGTAGGAAAAGATGCAAACCAGTGAAGCTTCCATGAGTGGTTCACTGGCTTTGCATCTATTCCTACGTTGTCTTTCAAAGCTCTTGTATGCAGCAAACAAAGACTCAAAGGAATTCATGTTTAAAAGGGAATGGCAAAATTGTGATTCTTTGTTCAACTAATTTGCACATGCCCACCCAGAATCCTTTGCGGTAGTAACATCACTGCAAATCTGTGATTTCTGTGGGAAAAGCAAGTCTTATGGCTTGGCTGTTGTGCAGATTTTTGTTTAACATTGTACTAACTATCCACATACTTCAGGTGGAAGGGGTTCTCAATCACATTTTTTTCCCCACAACTTTTTTGTTTTTTGCTTCCTATATATATAAATGTATATATATACAGTTGCAAGAAAAAGTATGTGAACCCTTTGGAATGATATGGATTTTTGCACAAATTGGTCATAAAATGTGATCTGATCATCATAACTAACAGAACTACCTGTACTTCTACGCCTTCTGTTAGTAGTCACGCAAGGCCAACACCCCACCTCACACTCAGAGGTATACACCCATTGGGCCACTCATTAGCTAGCAGCCTCGCATGGTATCATAGAGAGGGCCTCACCTGTCACTCCCTTTCCTATTTTCTGTTTACATTCACCGAGAGGTCAACACGCTGCCACTACGTTCGGTGGCCACTAAAAAATCCCCTTGCACCAACGCATAGTTAGAGCATCTCAAGCCACTTAGCAACTAGTAGGGCCTCACCAGAACCAAGAATAATTGTTTCGCCACACGGCTTTAGCTACAAGACCTCTGTTGTGCAAATAGTAATGGCAATCTTTATGTTATCTAGTATGTCTCAAGAAGGTGGCGAGGATTTCTCTCTACCTAGCAATCCGGCTAGATCGGGCACACCTTCACTTAGAGGTGATGTTGCCTACATCGATCAGATCCTGGACGATCCCACGCATTACTACCGAGCTAAGGAGGCGAAAAATCCCCTACCCAGCTACAGCAAGAAAAGTTGAACTTTTTAAGCTGCTCCGCACATCAACAAATATCATAGAGGTGGGGGAAGGCACTAGCAACACCAACTCGGGTGACATCCATGCAGTGTTATCATCACTCATGAACTCCATGAGCAAAGTGAATGACAGGCTGGAGAATCTCGACTCTGTCACCACAGCCCTTACTAAGGCTGGGCTTCCTGTTACAATACAACCAGCATCAACTAAAACTCAGTTAGCTGGTTCAGTCACTTCTTCTGATGCTCAGGACTTTAACCCGGCCCACATGATTCCAGCTCACATTAAGAAAGATATCCTGGAAGGTAAAGATGTCAGCTTAGCATCTCTGCTAATTGCCTCCCAGGATATTGTCGAAAATAAAACGTATGCTTATGATGATGTATCTGTGGTGGTCAGATCCAGGGATTCAAGGTTAAATAGGAAACTGACCATCCCTGAGTTTGTTTTAGCTTTTGGCATTTATGGAGATGTGATTTGTGCAGTTTACCCAAACAGAAGGGAAGAATTTGATCTATACATGCACAAGCTGGTAGACCTAGGCAACAAATATGGTGGTACAGCGTTTTACAACTACTATAGGTCTTTTTCAGCCAAGGTGCTCTCTTCCAATTCGGGAACAGAACCAACTGGAGCAAACTGGATACCGAGATATTCTGCAGACACTTTGCAGGTCTTAAGACATCAGCTTGTGCATCCTGCTCTTCTACTACCCACACAACTAACTTTTGTCCCAACACAGCGGACGATTACTTTTATGCTCCAGTCCCTAGCACCTCTGGTAGAATGCAAAGAACTACCAGAGACAAATTGGGTCATCCCATTATCTTTTTTTAGCAAATCCCAGATTTGCAACAATTTGAATGTTGGTACATGTAGTTTCAGTGCATGCAGACTGTTGCATATCTGTTCAAATTGTTTCAGGGCACATGCTAAAACCATGTGTCCCAATAAAATGTACCCTAAACCGTACTTAACGTCTGTAAACATTACTGCATTTTCAGCGTTACTGACTCATCACCCTTCCAGACATCTAGTAGATTAACTAATCTCGGGGTTGTCAGAGGGCCTCCATACGGGTACAGTACATATGCATTCAGGGAATATTGAATGCCCAAACTTGCAGTCAGCACAGCAGAACCCAACGGCTGTAAACACACTCGTAGCCCAAGAAATTGCAGAGGGCTTTCTACTCAGGCTTTTCCAATCCCCACCATTTACAGCATGGAGAACAAACCCCATTGGGATTGTCACAGGGAAATCTTCCCTCAAACAGAGACTGATCATAGACTTGTCAGCACCACACACCTCTGCTACCCCAAGTCTCAACTCCCTTATACCCTCTGAGGAGTTTTCCCTAAAATACACCACCATTACAGCCATCTTTCAAGCAGGGGTTGGATCTTAGTTAAGTAAGACTGATATCATCAACGCATTCAAACTGCTACCAATCCACCCCACACTTTGGCACTTACATGGTATTAAATGGGAAGGCAGTTACTATTTTTTCTCCCGATTAACTTTTGGGTCAAAGAGCAGCCCAAAAATTTTCTATATATTTGCCGAAACTCTATGCTGGTTGTTATTAAACATATCCAGATGCCCCACAGTCATACACTATCTAGATGACTTCTTGATGGTCGAAGAGAACACTTTTCCCCCTAAAAGCCTCAAGGAAGGAATAAGCCTGTTTGACCACTTGGGTGTCCCAGTTTCTTTAAAAAAACAGAAGGCCCGGATATTATCATTACATTCCTTGGCATCCAGCTTGACTCTGCATCCATGCAAGCAAGTTTACCACAAGACAAAATAGGGAACATTCTCACCAACATAAATCACTGCCTTCTGCTTGGTTCTTGCAACCACAAGGAGCTACAATCCCTACTAGGTTCCTTAAATTTTGCCATGCTCATCATATCACAAGGCTGCGCTTTCATATCCAGATTACTTTGCCTTTTCCCACATTTCTGACATGATGATCATAGGCTGTCCTTAGCCACAGCATACCTACTCATGTGGAAGAAGTTCTTAACCACATGGAATGGTATAAGCATGTTCCTCCCAGGATTGTCTGAGACATCACCAACTATATGGTCAGACGCAGCGTCTACCACGGGTTTTGCAGCAATCTACGGGAACGAATGGCTTTGGGGTAGTTGGCCTGTTGAAGTCTAGGATCTGGAAGGCTTTTCCACTACCTTAGCTCTTTTTGAGATCTACCCCATTGTGGCGGCTCTTGTGGCATGGGTCATTTATGGTCAGGGTTGGCAGTGCGTTTTTACTCAGACAACCAAGCCACGTGCCATATCATCAACAAGGGCCGCTCACCATCTTTAACAATCATGAGATTTCTAAGGAAACTCACTTGGTTGGCCGCATGTCACAATTTCTTTTTAGTTTGCTTTCATGTACCTGGTGTTTATAACATCGCTGCTGACAATTTGTCTTGATTTAAATTCCAGGCGTTTCATCAAGCGCTGCCTACAGCCGCTCAAGCAGCCAAAGCCACTGTATCGTTCCAGCACCAAATCATGGATTAGACATACTCATGCAACATAGCAGGGAACTGTCCCTATTAGCACTTTCGTCCAATACTCGTAGGACATATAACAGAGCCTACACCTTGTTTAAAAGATTCCTGTTGGAATACGGCATATTTCAAACTTTTGTCATGACATCTCTCCTAGGCTTTGCTTCTTTTTGCCATCTTAAACTGAAATGATCTCATAACACCATAAAATTATATCTGACAGGCATTCAACACCACATGCTAACCTTATGGCCAAACAACCAGAGCTTCATGTCATCATACCAAATAAAGAACATATTTAGAAAACAATGTGTTCCCTATTAAGGGTTAATAAGCACGTAGGGATGTATATAAAAAATACCCAATTCTGTCTCATTAGATATATTTTTGCCAGAAGCTCAAGGAAGCAAGGTGAATGGTTAGAGTTATGACCCACCTAAGAGGTCTGTCTTGACATGGCAGGTGGGCATACCCTTTCATGGCCATTGGAGGTAACTAAAAACCTCCATTTGTTTAAAAATACATAGGGATGTGGAAAGAGCGCAGGTAACTTTTTTTTTCTTTGGTTTTTACTATATGTATTTTGGCTGATGTGTACTATGGTCATTGCTGCCGCTCAGGAGTAATGGGAGTTTGAGCGCAGGACTTATTTCTTTCTATTGGTATTCAGAAAACAGTTCCCCCACGTACATCACAGAGACTACCCATAGACAATCACTTTTTCAAATCCTTATCTTACCTATTAGATTTAAAGCCATTCGATTCCAACACCAACGCAGTAATTAAAACAGCCATGTATATAGCTTTCTACGGTTTTCTAAGGCCAAGAGAGTTTACTACTATCACTACAACTCAGACAACTCATTGTCTTCAACAGTCCCACCTACGTAAACACATGGATCACTACCTATTGGCTCTACCACATTCTAAAACGAGTCAACACGCACCACCAGTAGAGATATCATACTATCCTACCCACAACAAATGGTGCCCGGTTACGGTCCTAGACTCCTACCTTCAAAACTCCAACTCACAACCATCACAGCCATTATTTGTATTACAGGGCTCAGTGCTTACTACCTTTACCTTCATGAAATATGTCATGTCTCTCTTAACCCAACTAGGCCGCAACCCTTTTAACTACTCAGGTCACTCCTTCCACATAGGGGCAGCCTCAACAGCCTCCAGTGCCAACGTACCGGTGAACATTATCAAATCACTGGGGCAGTGGAAATCATCTGCGTATACACGGTACATACCCAAACAAGAGATACGAAATGCATATAAGGAAATGTCTGGTTAATTGTATATATTTGTTGACTGTAATAAATCTTTAATTATTCACTTTTGCCCTCTTTATTTACAGGCCTACCGTATTGTCGGTTCTGGCACACCACAACCAACTTGTTCTTTTATACTATCCAACGCTTATACTGGATCTTTACTCCTTATACAGCTACCTGTCCCCAACACAAGTATATATATATATATATATATATACACACATATATATATATATATACATATGTAGGAGCCAACTCGTAGCGAGGCCATACTAGATTTAGTGTTAGCAAATGGAGATTTAGTATCAGATATTATGGCAGGTGAAAGTTTAGGATATAGTGATCAATACTCTTAAAACACATATGTAACAATAAAGGTATGATCTTTATTTCATCTGCAGGTATGTGATTATGTGATTTGATAATGTCCTAAAACAGACAGGCCAGTCCTCACCTCTATGCTATCCTAGCCACTAATTAATGCTTCACAGAGGACTATAGTTTCACTATATAACAATAGTATGTAAACTCGCCTGTCAAACCTGTTAATTGAGTCCTGTGCTCATGTGCATTTAAAACTCCATAACCCCAGGCAGGAGAATTACTCAGAAATATTGAGTTTTCTCCCTTGTGTGTGTTACTGTAAATACTGTCTTGTGATTTGGGAAAGCATATAATTAAGACATTTAAGATTATGATTTAAATTATTCTCATAGTTCCTTACATTCACATTACAATTATTTTGATAACAATTCATGTTAGTTTTGTGTGTGTTTTGTGTCTAGAAACTACACTTATTGCAGGAAATAAAGATCCAAAGTTTATTAAATACTGACAAGTTTATTTTTTCATTTTACAGAATTTTTACAGTTTTTTGTTTTATTATGAAAATTAAAGAATAGTTGATACATGCTACAGAAAACAAACAAATAAAGTCTCATTCAGTTCATAAAAATATAAAAACAATTTATCATGCAAAGGATATATAAGGCACTTTCTGCTTCATTTTATCCGTAACAATGTCTTCTGTTCCAATTCCTCACTCTTACTTTGGCACTGCAATGGAAAACACAAAAATATGTAAGGGACAAAATGGGTCATATCGATTACAGCTTTTGTTCATTTTGTTAATTTCACACTGTATTGTAAACCAATAATATTACAACAATTGAAAAGTAATTATTAAAAAATGTTATGTGGGGAAGCTTGTCCTAATATGAGTGAAGGCAACTACTTTAGACTTAATGACTTGGTAAATTGGTTCAAGTCAGTTATTATGTGAGGGACATTGCAATACTCACCACATTTGTATGAAGCTTTGAATCCTTTATATTGGATGGAGAAATCAGTAAGAAATTGTAGAAACATTGAATTTCCACTTGAAGTAATAGAACGGGGATATCGAATACCACAAAATTCTTTAATCAGTGGAGAGTCAGCATCTGGTCCATTATAAATTGACAGAGAGTCACGGCTGCACATCGAATAGCTAATTAAGTTAATTCCTCAAATTGTACTTTTCCATCTGCCTTTTAAATCCTGACAATCAAGCTTTATCAAACAAGAGCAACTATAGGAGAATTCAAAAAGTCCACTGGATGTTTTCACTATATAAAACATAAGTGATGATAGTAAATTACAAAATTGTAGCCAAATTGGCAGAGTTTGAGTGTTTTTATATCAGACCGCATGTTGAATTTCATTTTACAACATTGTTTTCAGCAGCAGAGATTGTTCTGGAGAGTCCACAGTATTTCCCTGTAGAGCAATTGCTTATTTCTCCCATGAAGAACATCATACCTTGTACTGAGGAGGAGCAGAAATTATCCATGTACAGTTCAAATTTGGAGGGTAGCCATTCGAGTATCCAGGAGAGGTGAAGTTCTTTGCAGGAGCATAAAACTCACCTCCACATTGTACTGTAAGGGATGGATTGATTTTAGTAAAGTAGAGTATAGTTTCTGTATGTTTTAAATATTTTTACTGATTTTAGAAAAGAAGAAAATGGCTAATGTCAATTAAAATTAAATATACAAAGTTAAAGTAATAACCTTTAAAATAAATTAGACCTTTAATTAATAAAATAGGAGTGGGTGTAATTATTACACATGTAGGATTATGTCAGCAGAAAGCTATTTACATGGACAGTTGGCATATTATTAATGCTAAAGAGAATGAATTGTATATTACATATTTTTGATCTATAGTGTGCATGAAATAATATAGAGCATTCATTAATTTCCCCTAAAAAGTCAGCTCTTTAACAAGAATAATATCAAGGATAAAACTTGCATGATATATTTGGATTGTGGGGAAATGAAGGTGGTAGAAGACACATTTTGCCTATTTTTCTATCATTTTAGAACTTTACTCCTGGATTTTGTGCTTTTTCTGTCCATTTTAACTGAACTTTTACCCTTTACAATTGTCACAGTTCTACACAGAATAAGGCCTTCTCTAATCTAGTTCTATTTTTATTTGTGTCAGTTCATTCACAATAAGCTGGATATAGAGCCCTCAATAAATCTTCAAGAAGAGTTAAATATGACTTTACACTGTTGATATTTTCTAGTCTATATAGTTTTCATGACATTTAGAACCAAATATAACATATAAAATTAAACTTATACTTAATAGATGTCTTGTATATAACATAATTTAATTATATACTTAAAATTACAACCCCATGAAACTTAGTTCACCGTGACTTGTAGTTAAGGAATATGATTTTCACAGATTGTGATAACCGTTTGTGTAATGTATTTGATGGATAAGACCTTGTAAATAGTAATTGTAGAATTACCTGACTTATAGGTGATATTAAAACCTCTTCTGATACCGGAGAAACTGACGGAAGCAAAGCACAGAGGGATGGACACAGGTTTCTTCAGGAAGGAAGAGATTCTTTATTGGATCACCGATCGGGACTCAGAGGGACTAATGTCACCAAAAAATACAGCAAGTTCTGAGCCCTGAACAATAGTGCAGGCTTCCTATATAGGCACATAACTCCTCCCATATTAAGCTCCACCCGCACATTCTCTTGACCAATCATTACAAATAAGAATTAACTTCCTGCTTGACCGCATGGCTTGTCCAGCACAATGGAGGAGGGGAATACTACATCCTGTATTCTTGCACATGCTCCGTACACTACTGATCGTATCTTGCCTCGTGCAACCAACTGATCGATACGTCAGCATATGCACGTACACATGCCACGTGGTAATCTCGGCCTACTAAATTTATTTTTACCGAGATTCCACCACATTCCCTTTGATGCCTCTTGATATTTTACAATTACTTGAGGCATCACTTAACCTTGGTTTGCATACACCACAAGTTACCTTTGAACCAGACCAGACTTATCCTATGATGTGAATCTTCAACACTCGTCTTCCTGCATTGGTTCTCCCTGATCTAGAGCCTTATATTTATAAATTGCCATTATCTGTGCAGCAGCCTTCCTCTCTGCTATATTTTCTATCAGGCTTTGCACAGACCTAACTACTAAGGGTATAAGACACGGCAGGAGTAGACACAACATTAAAATCAGTAGGACTCCACCTACCACTGCCTTAAGCCCTCCAAACCACTCATACCAGCTACCAAACCAACTACTTGGATTGTACCCTTTCCATACCTGAGTAGGCACATGCGCTAGTTTAACCATATGGCTAGTAAGCTCAGCTATTGCTTGCCCTTCGTCATCTATTTGAAGACAGCAATTGCTCAGGTTAAACTTCCCACATACACCTCCCTCTACTGCCAAAAGATAATCCAAGGCTAATCTATTTTGGTAAACTGCTGTCCTCATCCTGGTATTATGCTTCGCTAGAAGATTGAGCGCTTGTGATGTCTCGTTAGTAATGATCTCAACCACCGCCTGTAACCTTATAATGCGGTTGAGCATATAAATAGGGGTTCTATAACCAAAGGTACCATCCTCTGCCCACGTGGCTGGCCCATAATAATCTATAATACGCTGGGGAGGCCATTCATTATCTTCCCAGGCACCTATCTCTATGGGTCCCCTTTTCTTCCTATGATTCACATCATACACTTTAACACCTAAAGTCTCACCTGTTTCAATAGGCAACAAGAAGAAGGATGGTTTCAACATACCCAACACACATGCCCCTTCCCAGTCCTGTGGTAACTCCGAATAGGCCTTCTTACCACAGATCCAGTACAAATTCGCTGGGGCTCTCCAGTTAGATGTGATGGATAGATCAAACCATACGTCCTTTAAATTGGCATATCTTGCAAACGGGTTAGATGGTTCTGAGACATTTGAAGCCGACCACCAAGTTGTATTCTTTGTATCATCATCATAAGCTTTTTGCCCTAGACAAGTTAATTCTCCTACAGAAGTATTATACATCATTCCTTTCCTCGCTATGCAAACATAACCTATGATGGAGGTCTTCAATCTCCACTCAGATTTACCTCTAACACTCATATGATAGTCGGCTTGTATAGATATTAATTGGTCAACTGCCTTAGAACCGGACATTACCTCCTTTGCTTCCCAAGGCCATTGGTCTCCCATGTTAGTACCTCCACACACATAGCAGTTGGTAACATTAAGACTACCGGCAATACTCTCGGCTAAATCAATGAACAAGTTTTTAGCATTATGGGGGATCTTATTATCTATGCTCATCTCTTCATAAAAGGAATGGTATACTTGATGAGTTTGGGAGGTTACCGTATCAGTCTCTATCCCTATAAACAATATTGTCCCAGGGTCTAAACCCGTCCCATATATTTGAAACCCAAATAAATTACCATATTTATCTAAGAACTTGTCAGGGTTATTTATAAGTATATGGATTGGATTGCATTCCATAGACTTACAATATGGATTAGTAGGCAACTTAGTCACAATCATGTCCTTGTCTGCTGTCTGTCCCCAAGTCGCCCACCCCACACAAGACCAATATGGGCAGAAGTTATAATCTCTATTTGGACATCTTGGACTTACATATCTATTTTTACTACTGGGACAAATATATTTATCGTTAGACCCATACGTCCTCTCCCATCTAAGATCCCCACATACATTCCACGGCTTTCTACCACTTGATATTGCTTTACACGCATCAAATAGCAGAGCACCTGAAGAATATACGGATTTTAATACCGTCTTATTAATTAGGGTCCCCTGAGAATCTCCATTTCTGAGAGTCAACCAAATTGTACGGGGTTGATACTCAGGACTGAAGCACTTAGGTTCTCCTACTCCTAAATGACACACACTATATTCTATATTTAAGTATCTACATCTTGATACATCTCCTTTACACTCATATTGCGAATGCCAAATTAGGGTCTGGGATATATGGTTACCTGTTCTTGTAGTCTTAATGCATACCTCACAGCTAGGAGTGTCGGTACCTCTACCTTCCTGAATATAAAAATACACATAAATAAACATTATTAAAAATACATCTTTCGTCGTCATCCTCAGTCTTCGTCCGTGCGAAGGCACCTCAGCTTCCAGGATGTAAGGGCTGCAGGGAATGGAGTTCTGCTCGTCTTCACAGGGGTCCCCTCAAGACTTTCCCTGACTTATACACTCGTTGGTGAGTGGACAGGCTTTATTATGGCCTTCTCACTCACTTACCAAGTCTCTGAAACAATAAAATTTGTGATCCACAAGGTTCCTCGTCACTCCGACTGAGTTGTGCGTTTTAACCGGATTTTGCAGGGATTCTCTGGATTTGCTGTAACTTGCCAGGAATCGGCTGCTGCTGGTTTAACCCTGGAGTGATGTATCCACGGAGCCACTTCGGCTACTTTTATCGCTGTAGGGGTAGACAGAAGAACAACATAAGGACCTCTCCACTTGGGCCCTAACGGCACATTATTCCACTCTTTAATCCACACTTGGTCGCCTGGGTGGTAACTATGAATTGGGGGATAAATATTCACAGGTAATCTATCTTGTACCCATTTCTGTACCTCCTCCATAGTCTTACCCAACTCTACAACCTGCTGCCGGGTAATTCCTTCTCCCAACTGACTCAAATCCCCCCTTAAGTTACCAAGCACGGGAGGTGGTCGCCCGTACATGATTTCAAAAGGAGAGAGGCCCATCCTTCTGGTAGGTGTACTACGGATTCGCAATAGAGCTATGGGCAAGAGAACGTTCCACTTAAGTTGGGTTTCCTGACACATTTTAGCCAACTGATTCTTAATAGTTCTATTCATTCTCTCTACCTTACCAGAACTCTGGGGTCTATATGCCGTATGAAGCCTCCACTTTATACCAAGCATATGAGTCAATTGTTGTAGGCACTGATGAACAAAAGCTGGACCATTGTCCGATCCTATAGAGCAGGGTAGTCCATATCGGGTATTATTTCTCGTAGCAGGAATCTCACGACTTCTCCTGCTTTCTCTGTACGAGTAGGACATGCTTCTACCCAGCCTGAATAGGTGCACACCACTACCAGCAGGTAGCGATGTCCACCCGATTTAGGCATCACTGTATAGTCAATTTGTAAATCGGACATGGGAAGTCCCCCCATAAACTGGACTCCTGGTGGCTTTACTGGTCCTTGTCTTGCATTATTTTTAGCACACGTTACACATCTACGTACAATGGCCTGAGTCAAGTTGGACAATCTTGGTATGTAGAAATGTTTTCTGAGAGATTCTTCTGTACTGTCTCTCCCAGAATGTGTCCCGTTATGATAGTTTTGGACAATTTCTACCGCTAGTGATGCTGGAATAACTATTCTTCCATCTTCTAACTGATACCATTTGTTCTCCAAATACTTTCCAGGTTCAGTCCTTAACCACTCCTCTTCCTGAGCTGTATAAATTGGAGTCCATTGAGACAGTGGAGTTGGTATAAGAGCAGCTATATGCCCCACATATTCCTGTCTTCCTGATTCAGCAGCACGCTTAGCTGCACTATCTGCCATCCGATTCCCTTTGGTTACATCACCATCTCCTCTCAGATGCGCCCGACAATGTATAATACCGACTTCTTTCGGCTCCCACACTGCTTCCAATAGTTGTAGGATCTCAGCTGCGTATTTGATTTCTTTGCCTTCTGAATTCAATAGTCCTCTTTCTTTATACAAAGCTCCGTGGGCATGAGTGGTTAAAAACGCATACTTGGAGTCCGTGTAGATGTTCACTCTTAAACCTTCAGCCAATTGTAACGCTCGTGTCAGTGCTATCAATTCTGCCTTTTGTGCTGATGTTCCTTTTGCCAGTGGCCGAGCTTCTATCACCTTGTCTATCGTTGTTACTGCATATCCTGCATAGCGGATCCCTTCTTTTACATAACTACTGCCGTCGGTGTAATATTGAACATCAGGGTTCTGGATGGGAAAATCACGAAGATCTGGTCTACTTGAAAATACTTCATCCATTACTTCCAAACAATCATGTTGACTTTCAGTAGGTTGTGGCAAAAGGGTAGCTGGATTTAAGGTATTTACAGTCTCTAAATGCACTCTTGGGTTTTCACACAACATTGCTTGATACTTGGTCATACGGCTGTTACTAAACCAATGATTTCCTTTGTAATCCAACAACGTCTGTACTGCATGTGGAACTCGTACATAAAGTTCTTGACCCAGAGTGAGTTTATCGGCTTCAGCTACTAGCAGGGCGGCTGCAGCTACAGCTCTTAGACAAGGTGGAAGTCCGCTGGCCACTGCATCCAGTTGCTTAGACATGTAGGCAACAGGTCTTTGCCATGATCCCAAGTACTGTGTCAATACTCCCACAGCCATTCTTCTTTGCTCATGTACATACAGGTAGAATGGCCGTGTGTGGTCAGGTAGACCTAATGCTGGGGCACTCATCAAAGCCCTCTTCACATCTTCGAATGCCGTTTGCTGTTCTTGAGTCCATAAGAAGGGGTCGTGCTCTGTACCTTTGATAGCTGCATACAGAGGTTTTGCCAGTATCGCGTAGCTGGGAATCCATATCCTACAGAAGCCTGCTGCCCCCAAGAATTCTCGCACTTGTCTTCTATTCCTGGGTATCGGTATTTGGCACACAGCTTCTTTTCTCTCTGGCCCCATAATTCTTTGACCTTCAGAGATATGGAATCCCAGATATTTGACAGTTGGCAAACACAACTGAGCCTTCCTTCTTGACACCTTGTATCCTGCCTTCCAGAGAATGTGTAGTAGATCGTGCGTTGCTTGCTGACATACTTCCTTTGTAACTGCTGCTATCAACAAGTCATCTACATATTGTAATAATACACACTCTCCTGGGATAGACTCGAAATCTAGTAGATCTTGACTTAGAGCTGAACCAAATAGGGTAGGTGAATTTTTAAACCCCTGGGGCAATCTTGTCCAGGTCATTTGGCGTTTCGAGCCCGTTACAGCATTTTCCCATTGGAAAGCGAAGATACATTGGCTTTCTGCGGCAATTCGGAGGCAAAAGAAGGCATCTTTGAGATCTAAGACTGTAAAGTAAGTAGCCCCGCCCGGAATTAAAGCAAGCAGGTTATATGGATTGGGCACGACTGGATGTATACTAACAACCGCATCATTGACTGCTCTCAAGTCCTGCACAGGTCGATACTCATCTGTACCGGGCTTTTGAACAGGCAGCAATGGGGTGTTCCAGGGGGAAGTACAGAATTTTAGGATACCATACCGTATGAACTTATCCAGATAAGATTGGATGTTCTTCTTAGCCTTCTGCGGAATATGATATTGTCTCAGGCTTACTGGATAAACCCCAAGTTTTAGTTCGATTTTAATAGGTGGAATATTGCGGGCCAGTCCTGGTGGGTTGTTCTCTGCCCAAACTCCTGGTATGTTAAATAAGGATTCATCACTCCTCGGGTTTTGGCTAGTCAACACTGTATAAAGTCGCCACTCTTCTTCCTTTGGTACGGACAATGTCATAATACCTGAGGGTCCATTAAACTTTAAGGATGTTGTTCCATTTGGTAGGAACGTAATCTGCGCTTGTAATTTGGATAGCATATCACGCCCCAGCAATTGGACTGGACACTCAGGCATATAAAGGAATTGATGTTTTACTACGTGGCCTCCCAATGTACAGAGTCGACTTTTAAGAACCGGTTTTTCAGCACTTCTTCCAGTTGCTCCTATTACAGTAATAGTTCTTCCAGATGGAGGAGCAACTAGATTAGTCACCACCGAATGTTCAGCACCAGTGTCGATCATGAACGCACTCCTTTTTCCCCCTATTGATACATCGACCATAGGCTCCGCTCGACCAAGGGGGATGGAGCCCGGTCGGTATCAATAGTCCTCCATGACCGTGTCAGCCAATCCCACAAAGTCCCTACCTTCTCTATCGCGGGACCTTTGCGCTGCTGGATAGTACCTATCTTCCCTTACACTTCCTCTGTTCTATTACCATTACTCCCTCCGGGGCCTCCTCTACCTCTCGCTCTGCCTCTAAAGTTTCCATAACCTGCCCTGGGTAAGTCTCTCTCATACTGCTCTCTTTGCGGACACTCATTCCTCCAATGCCCTTCTTCCTTGCAGTACGCGCACTGATTCCTACTCAAAGGCTCCCTATTCCATCTACCATCGCCTCTATCTGGGCCCCGTCTATCTACGCCTGCGATCGCTACCGCTAGCATATCTGCCTTTCTACGCATCTTGCGCTCTTCCTCTTTCTTACTTTCTGTTTCCCTATTCATATATACTTTGTTCGCTACCTCCATTAGTTGGGTGATAGACATACCTGCAAACCCTTCTAATTTCTGTAGCTTGCGCTTAATATCTCCGTAAGCTTGGCTGACAAAGGCGGAGTTTACCATTCGGGAATTATCAGCGTCTTCCGGATTAAAGGGGGTATACAAGCGGTATGCCTCCAATAATCGGTCATAAAAGACACTGGGCGCTTCATCACTTTTCTGAATCACCTCAACTGTCTTCGACATGTTAATAGCTTTCTTCCCTCCGGCTTTCATGCCAGCAATTATAGCGTCTCTATAGGCTTTAAGTTGAGCCATATCTGCGCCATTTACATTCCAGTCAGGATCGGTGTTAGGGTAATGTGTTGCGGCCCATGCTGCCGGATTGGCTTGATTTAAAGCACGGGCTCTCTCCTCTAGCGCCTTAATGGCCGCTTGGTTAATCCTTGTCCTTTCCTCATTATTGAACAATGTCATTAATAACTGCTGGCAATCAGCCCATGTCGGGTTATGTGTCTGAACTATCGAGGTGAACAGATCGGTCATAGCTTGTGGTTTCTCAGTGTACGAGGAATTGTGGGTCTTCCAATTTAAGAGATCGGTAGTCGTGAACGGGACATATACGAAGACTGGGTCAGCATGTGCCATTTGACCTGCGGCATCGATATAGGCTGACCCAGGATTCAGACGAAGAGGCATCTGATAATGTTTTAATTGTTGGGTACCGGTCAGTTGTCGGGTTAGTATGGGGCTACGTGGAGGGGCGTCAGTTAAAGGTTCCGGTCGAGAGGTAATAGGGCATGAGGATGTGGGAACTTGATTTTGTGAAAAATTAGTGAATAGTATACTCTGAGCCGAGCTAGAAGAAGCTTGACCGGAAGTTTGAAGTGGCGCCAAATCAGGATATTCAGATCTAATGGGGGTTGGTCCTGGTTCAGGAAGGGGAGTTTTAATACGAGGGGGGGTGGATTCTGTACTGGAGGAGGAAGCGGAAGTGGATGGGGGCAATAGGGGAAGGGGTGCAGAACTTCCTGCATTCGCGTCACTTCCTCTTAAAGGGAAGTAAGGGGGCGGCAAAGGGATCTCGGACTCAGGGGGCGTGTCCAAAATGGGCCTAACACCGGTCCTAGTGGACAAATAAGTCCTGGCCACCATGAGGCGACATTGCTCCTCGTGGCATATCCGGATCCATTTTGGCGAGTCGTTTACGGCCTGCCTCCAACAATCAATGTATGGAAACTGTCCGTAAAGTTCAGGCCTACCTGACACAGCCACGTGTACACGCTGTACCAGGGTTGGATCCAAACTGCCACGCGGCGGCCATGCCGCAACCAAAGTAGGCCACTCCCTAGTGCACAAAGTGACCAAACGAACAGGAGACATTTTAACCCCAAAATCACATATTTTGAATCCCTTTTTAAAATTCTTTACCATACAACCTAAGGGATCCGAAATCGCTGACTCTGACGCGCCCATACTTATCAATGGAACGTCGTTGACAACGAATACTATGCACGCGTTCTTATTCAACAGTCACACCCGTTTCCTCTGGCAACAGCACCACGTGGTACAGTTACCAAGTGAAACGTACACAATAACACAATAATCACTCAGGGAATTCCCGTACACACACAGCTGTTACACCAGTCGCTAAATAATCAATATTATGCCCTTTGGCGAAACTATACAGTCACCCACGCTATAATTCTCTATATATGAATTACCCGTCTATAACACACCCCAGTAACATCGTCTTTTACTAGTATCGGTTACAGTACGGTTAGCATAGGTCAAAGCACAATTTAAGGTCACAATACAATTATTAGTGGTTATGGTGTTAAACATGCAATAGACGACAATGATTAGTACTTATATACAGTGTCAGTAAATATACAGGGTTATGGTACCGTGCACTATGATACAGCAACACACTATTAACACTCTCGCTAGACGGCTGAGCTCGCGCTATCTAACAAGATATACACTTTACTAACAATCTTTAACACATTTACAATCCCAACTAAACTATTGGCCAGTACCTTGAATGGACTACCTAAAACTATATACACCCGTTTTGGTTAGCCACACTGCCCAAGCACCACATATAGCGAACTAGAGGGCAGAATTTACAAAATTGCCCTTCTAGTCTATTTACTCTATCAAAAGTCTAGTGGGTTCCAAATTTACACGCCTTCCCACTTAGCCAAGATAGGTTGAGAGCTAGCGAACCGAATTTACACAGGCGCCGCTTAGTCTCCCGGTCCCTCCGACCTAGCGAACGTAATATACACCCTAGAACGCTAGTCTAGACAAGACACCGGTGTCCGGCTAGGGCTATTTACACAGGACCCCGCCTGACTAACCAGATCAAACGGTCTTACTAAAGAGCGTTCGATCGAGCGGTGCGCCTTCGCTCCTTCCCTCCGACAGAGGGGGCAGATTCCATACACAGATTTAAACCCCTTTTGGGCCTACCGCACAATCGGTATACCCCTAGTGGGTCTGCCGTCTAAAACAGCAGTTGTCTTACCTCCTCGTTCCTGAACCTGAGTTCACACTCATCGACGGGGACACCCCAGCACTTCTTACGTAGAGGCCGATGATCTCCTGGACAACAGACCAGTGGCGCCGAGACGAAGGGAGGTCCACGCAGAAGTTCAGGGGTGCAGCCGTAGAGAACGTGGGCAAAGATAGACCGTCTCACGCCTCTGCCTCTCAGCTACCGTTGAACGATGAGCTTCCCGGCCAATGCACCAAATGATACCGGAGAAACTGACGGAAGCAAAGCACAGAGGGATGGACACAGGTTTCTTCAGGAAGGAAGAGATTCTTTATTGGATCACCGATCGGGACTCAGAGGGACTAATGTCACCAAAAATACAGCAAGTTCTGAGCCCTGAACAATAGTGCAGGCTCCCTATATAGGCACATAACTCCTCCCATATTAAGCTCCACCCGCACATTCTCTTGACCAATCATTACAAATAAGAATTAACTTCCTGCTTGACCGCATGGCTTGTCCAGCACAATGGAGGAGGGGAATACTACATCCTGTATTCTTGCACATGCTCCGTACACTACTGATCGTATCTTGCCTCGTGCAACCAACTGATCGATACGTCAGCATATGCACGTACACATGCCATGTGGTAATCTCGGCCTACTAAATTTATTTTTACCGAGATTCCACCACATTTCCACTTCCATTCTGGTTAGAGACAAACTCAATGAGCACCTGGCTAGATAACGATGTCATTGGAAGGATCAGTGGCATACCACATGTCTTGTCTAATAGCACAGGAGACGTCTTACTGGGTCCATCATAAATTCTAATATAGTCTGCAGAGCAGCCAATAGAGAATTCAACATCAAGAAAATCTAATTTCAGAACAATCTGCAAATAATAATAAAGAAAAAATAAAAATAATATTTTTGTAATATTGTGAGGTAAAATTAGTTTACTGATCCTGGAATGTAATCAAAAATAATAGCAAACAAGGCAGTGTGGCTGTATACCAGTAAGGGGGAGCCAACAATATATTACAATGGAATGAAATGTACTTTAATACAATTCCATAGTCCCTGACTTTATCCGTAAAGGCTAAATAAGAATTCACCCCCCTCGGACTTTACTGCAAGGTACCTGGTAATGCAATAGTTTATTACCTGTCCAGATGGAACTCTGATCAGCCAAACACAGTTGCTGTTATTGGGGTAACTATTTGGGTAATTGGCTGAGGTCACTGTACCATTGACATTACTAAGCAGCATTGAGCAGACATCTGCAGGTAAAACAGAAAAAGTAAGATCATGGAAGAAACATGGAAATCTGATTATAGAGCTATTTTATACCATATTATTATATCTGTTCCTTCTTATGTTGTATCTCCCATCTCCTAAAACTATCCCACACATGTAAACCATTTCTTAAGATCTCTGTCCTCTACACTAATCATATCACTTCCCCTAATTATTACCTTCTTTATATTTCATCTGAAAGAAACAGATATTCTCTGACAAGTTGCACCCTATCTATTATTAGTTTGAATTATTCTGTTTCTGTCTGCTGGAGACATTGGCCCTTATTTGTGCAGTTGGCACAGTGATCTGTTCTATAACCCAATGATAATACATAAAGGAATCACATCATTAACAACCAACTCACCACACTGGTAAAGAACATTGATTTTCGAAACATCCAGGCTACCGAGTCCATCTCTCTGTCCGAAGGGTTTGGAAGGATCAGGCTTAGGGATGATTGTGTTTTTTCCTGATGTGTTACTGAATGCATAGCTACAAAGAAGGAAGACAACCAACTGTCAACGAGCAGAAACTGTTTGTGAAATGTATTAAAGGAACACTCTAAGAACACTGTAATTGTTATGGAGCCAGGAATACCCTTGCACCTGTTTTACCTGGGGTTTCTGCTCTCTGCCTCTCAGTAGTGCATGACTTAGTGCAGGAGAACTTATAGAAATGCCTAGCAGGAGCTTCCAGCTCTCAATATCACTAGAGAAGAGACACTTGGTGGCTCCCAGGTAATATGTCAAACCATTAGCAAATTATTTACCTACTTAAATTAGGGTGGGGACTCCAGGGAACTTCTGGCATTATAACCATTACAGTGTACTGTAGTGGTTATGATGCTTGGAGTTTTCATTTAATTACATTCAGCATTGAAAATCTATGTAGAACAGATAAGGAGTCACTGGTACATTCTACACATGGACATACAGGACATTTGGTATTGTATTTAGCAATGTACTTCAGAGAGACAGTATGGTACTTACGTGGGATAATGCATCACAGAGTAGTAGTCATATTCCATATTCTGGTTATTCGTGTCTACCTTTTTAAAATTACCAATATTTTCTATGAGAGAACAGATGGAAATCAATTACTGCTTAACGTTTCTAATAAGGTGTTATGACTTTAGTATTAATGAGTGAGTTACGATATTTTACTCTTGCAGAGATCATGTATTTGTGACATGGATTAGCATTGTGCTCATTACCTGGTGATATATTTGCCTTTTCCCACATTTCTGACATGATGATCATAGGCTGCCCTTTAGCCACAGCATACCTACTCATGTGGAAGAAGTTCTTAACCACATGGAATGGTATAAGCATGTTCCTCCCAGGATTGTCTGAGACATCACCAACTATATGGTCAGACGCAGCGTCTACCACGGGTTTTGCAGCAATCTACGGGAACGAATGGCTTTGGGGTAGTTGGCCTGTTGAAGTCTAGGATCTGGAAGGCTTTTCCACTACCTTAGCTCTTTTTGAGATCTACCCCATTGTGGCGGCTCTTGTGGCATGGGTCATTTATGGTCAGGGTTGGCAGTGCGTTTTTACTCAGACAACCAAGCCACGTGCCATATCATCAACAAGGGCCGCTCACCATCTTTAACAATCATGAGATTTCTAAGGAAACTCACTTGGTTGGCCGCATGTCACAATTTCTTTTTAGTTTGCTTTCATGTACCTGGTGTTTATAACATCGCTGCTGACAATTTGTCTCGATTTAAATTCCAGGCGTTTCATCAAGCGCTGCCTACAGCCGCTCAAGCAGCCAAAGCCACTGCATCGTTCCAGCACCAAATCATGGATTAGACATACTCATGCAACATAGCAGGGAACTGTCCCTATTAGCACTTTCGTCCAATACTCGTAGGACATATAACAGAGCCTACACCTTGTTTAAAAGATTCCTGTTGGAATACGGCATATCTCAAACTTTTGTCATGACATCTCTCCTAGGCTTCGCTTCTTTTTGCCATCTTAAACTGAAATGATCTCATAACACCATAAAATTATATCTGACAGGCATTCAACACCACATGCTAACCTTATGGCCAAACAACCAGAGCTTCATGTCATCATACCAAATAAAGAACATATTTAGAAAACAATGTGTTCCCTATTAAGGGTTAATAAGCACGTAGGGATGTATATAAAAAATACCCAATTCTGTCTCATTAGATATATTTTTGCCAGAAGCTCAAGGAAGCAAGGTGAATGGTTAGAGTTATGACCCACCTAAGAGGTCTGCCTTGACATGGCAGGTGGGCATACCCTTTCATGGCCATTGGAGGTAACTAAAAACCTCCATTTGTTTAAAAATACATAGGGATGTGGAAAGAGCGCAGGTAACTTTTTTTTTCTTTGGTTTTTACTATATGTATTTTGGCTGATGTGTACTATGGTCATTGCTGCCGCTCAGGAGTAATGGGAGTTTGAGCGCAGGACTTATTTCTTTCTATTGGTATTCAGAAAACAGTTCCCCCACGTACATCACAGAGACTACCCATAGACAATCACTTTTTCAAATCCTTATCTTACCTATTAGATTTAAAGCCATTCGATTCCAACACCAACGCAGTAATTAAAACAGCCATGTATATAGCTTTCTACGGTTTTCTAAGGCCAAGAGAGTTTACTACTATCACTACAACTCAGACAACTCATTGTCTTCAACAGTCCCACCTACGTAAACACATGGATCACTACCTATTGGCTCTACCACATTCTAAAACGAGTCAACACGCACCACCAGTAGAGATATCATACTATCCTACCCACAACAAATGGTGCCCGGTTACGGTCCTAGACTCCTACCTTCAAAACTCCAACTCACAACCATCACAGCCATTATTTGTATTACAGGGCTCAGTGCTTACTACCTTTACCTTCATGAAATATGTCATGTCTCTCTTAACCCAACTAGGCCGCAACCCTTTTAACTACTCAGGTCACTCCTTCCACATAGGGGCAGCCTCAACAGCCTCCAGTGCCAACGTACCGGTGAACATTATCAAATCACTGGGGCAGTGGAAATCATCTGCGTATACACGGTACATACCCAAACAAGAGATACGAAATGCATATAAGGAAATGTCTGGTTAATTGTATATATTTGTTGACTGTAATAAATCTTTAATTATTCACTTTTGCCCTCTTTATTTACAGGCCTACCGTATTGTCGGTTCTGGCACACCACAACCAACTTGTTCTTTTATACTATCCAACGCTTATACTGGATCTTTACTCCTTATACAGCTACCTGTCCCCAACACAAGTATATATATATATATATATATATACACACATATATATATATATATACATATGTAGGAGCCAACTCGTAGCGAGGCCATACTAGATTTAGTGTTAGCAAATGGAGATTTAGTATCAGATATTATGGCAGGTGAAAGTTTAGGATATAGTGATCAATACTCTTAAAACACATATGTAACAATAAAGGTATGATCTTTATTTCATCTGCAGGTATGTGATTATGTGATTTGATAATGTCCTAAAACAGACAGGCCAGTCCTCACCTCTATGCTATCCTAGCCACTAATTAATGCTTCACAGAGGACTATAGTTTCACTATATAACAATAGTATGTAAACTCGCCTGTCAAACCTGTTAATTGAGTCCTGTGCTCATGTGCATTTAAAACTCCATAACCCCAGGCAGGAGAATTACTCAGAAATATTGAGTTTTCTCCCTTGTGTGTGTTACTGTAAATACTGTCTTGTGATTTGGGAAAGCATATAATTAAGACATTTAAGATTATGATTTAAATTATTCTCATAGTTCCTTACATTCACATTACAATTATTTTGATAACAATTCATGTTAGTTTTGTGTGTGTTTTGTGTCTAGAAACTACACTTATTGCAGGAAATAAAGATCCAAAGTTTATTAAATACTGACAAGTTTATTTTTTCATTTTACAGAATTTTTACAGTTTTTTGTTTTATTATGAAAATTAAAGAATATTTGATACATGCTACAGAAAACAAACAAATAAAGTCTCATTCAGTTCATAAAAATATAAAAACAATTTATCATGCAAAGGATATATAAGGCACTTTCTGCTTCATTTTATCCGTAACAATGTCTTCTGTTCCAATTCCTCACTCTTACTTTGGCACTGCAATGGAAAACACAAAAATATGTAAGGGACAAAATGGGTCATATCGATTACAGCTTTTGTTCATTTTGTTAATTTCACACTGTATTGTAAACCAATAATATTACAACAATTGAAAAGTAATTATTAAAAAATGTTATGTGGGGAAGCTTGTCCTAATATGAGTGAAGGCAACTACTTTAGACTTAATGACTTGGTAAATTGGTTCAAGTCAGTTATTATGTGAGGGACATTGCAATACTCACCACATTTGTATGAAGCTTTGAATCCTTTATATTGGATGGAGAAATCAGTAAGAAATTGTAGAAACATTGAATTTCCACTTGAAGTAATAGAACGGGGATATCGAATACCACAAAATTCTTTAATCAGTGGAGAGTCAGCATCTGGTCCATTATAAATTGACAGAGAGTCACGGCTGCACATCGAATAGCTAATTAAGTTAATTCCTCAAATTGTACTTTTCCATCTGCCTTTTAAATCCTGACAATCAAGCTTTATCAAACAAGAGCAACTATAGGAGAATTCAAAAAGTCCACTGGATGTTTTCACTATATAAAACATAAGTGATGATAGTAAATTACAAAATTGTAGCCAAATTGGCAGAGTTTGAGTGTTTTTATATCAGACCGCATGTTGAATTTCATTTTACAACATTGTTTTCAGCAGCAGAGATTGTTCTGGAGAGTCCACAGTATTTCCCTGTAGAGCAATTGCTTATTTCTCCCATGAAGAACATCATACCTTGTACTGAGGAGGAGCAGAAATTATCCATGTACAGTTCAAATTTGGAGGGTAGCCATTCGAGTATCCAGGAGAGGTGAAGTTCTTTGCAGGAGCATAAAACTCACCTCCACATTGTACTGTAAGGGATGGATTGATTTTAGTAAAGTAGAGTATAGTTTCTGTATGTTTTAAATATTTTTACTGATTTTAGAAAAGAAGAAAATGGCTAATGTCAATTAAAATTAAATATACAAAGTTAAAGTAATAACCTTTAAAATAAATTAGACCTTTAATTAATAAAATAGGAGTGGGTGTAATTATTACACATGTAGGATTATGTCAGCAGAAAGCTATTTACATGGACAGTTGGCATATTATTAATGCTAAAGAGAATGAATTGTATATTACATATTTTTGATCTATAGTGTGCATGAAATAATATAGAGCATTCATTAATTTCCCCTAAAAAGTCAGCTCTTTAACAAGAATAATATCAAGGATAAAACTTGCATGATATATTTGGATTGTGGGGAAATGAAGGTGGTAGAAGACACATTTTGCCTATTTTTCTATCATTTTAGAACTTTACTCCTGGATTTTGTGCTTTTTCTGTCCATTTTAACTGAACTTTTACCCTTTACAATTGTCACAGTTCTACACAGAATAAGGCCTTCTCTAATCTAGTTCTATTTTTATTTGTGTCAGTTCATTCACAATAAGCTGGATATAGAGCCCTCAATAAATCTTCAAGAAGAGTTAAATATGACTTTACACTGTTGATATTTTCTAGTCTATATAGTTTTCATGACATTTAGAACCAAATATAACATATAAAATTAAACTTATACTTAATAGATGTCTTGTATATAACATAATTTAATTATATACTTAAAATTACAACCCCATGAAACTTAGTTCACCGTGACTTGTAGTTAAGGAATATGATTTTCACAGATTGTGATAACCGTTTGTGTAATGTATTTGATGGATAAGACCTTGTAAATAGTAATTGTAGAATTACCTGACTTATAGGTGATATTAAAACCTCTTCCACTTCCATTCTGGTTAGAGACAAACTCAATGAGCACCTGGCTAGATAACGATGTCATTGGAAGGACCAGTGGCATACCACATGTTTTGTCTAATAGCACAGGAGACGTCTTACTGGGTCCATCATAAATTCTAATATAGTCTGCAGAGCAGCCAATAGAGGACTCAACATCAAGAAAATCTAATTTCAGAACAACCTGCAAATAATAATAAAGAAAAATTAAAAATAATATTTTTGTAATATTGTGAGGTAAAATTAGTTTACTGATCCTGGAATGTAATCAAAAATAAAAGCAAACAAGGCAGTGTGGCTGTATACCAGTAAGGGGGAACCAATAATATATTACAATGGAATGAAATGTACTTTAATACAATTCCATAGTCCCTGACTTTATCCGTAAAGGCTGAATAAGAATTCACCCCCCTCGGACTTTACTGCAAGGTACCTGGTAATGCAATAGTTTATTACCTGTCCAGATGGAACTCTGATCAGCCAAACACAGTTGCTGTTATTGTGGTAATTATGTGGGTAGTTGGCTGAGGTCACTGTCCCGTTGACATTACCCCTCACACACACACACACACACACACACACAGCACCCCTCATATACACACATCACTCCTCACACACGCACACACACACACACACAGCACACACACACAGCAACCCTCACACACACACACAGCACACACATATAGCAACCCTCACACACACACAGCCAGCCTCACACACACAGCAACCCCTCACACACAGCACCCCACACACAAACACATACACTACACCTCTCAATGCAGTATGTGTGTGTATTCAGCAGTCTGTGTGTGCGCGTGTATTCAGCAGTCTGTGTGTGTGCGCATGTATTCAGCAGTCTGTGTGTGTATTCAGCAGTCTGTGTGTGTGTACTCAGCAGTGTGTGTATTCAGCGTACTGTGTGTGTGTGTGTGTGTATTCAGCGGACTGTGTGTGTATGTATTCAGCAGTCTGTGTGTGTGTACTCAGCAGTCTGTGTGTGTGTACCCACCAGTCTGTCTGTATGTGTATTCAGCAGACTGTGTGTGTGTGTATTCATCAGTCTCTGTATTCAGCAGTCTTGTGTGTGTGTATTCAGCAGACTGTGTGTATGTATTCAGCAGTCTGTGTGTGTATGTATTACATTTGTTGGAGATAGTAATAAATATAAGCTTAATTTTATCTATTTATATCATTATTTAAAATTTGTATCATTGAACTCTCTGTTGTTGTGTTCTTTTAAAACAAAAGTTGTTAATTAGTTCAGACAACAGTACGAGTTGTTTTTTCTAAAACTTAAACCTCAGTATTGAGGTTTAATTGCCATGTTGGCAAAAAAGTTGGCATGTATTGCGGTTTGGGCACTCGGGCTCAAAAAGGTTTGCCATCACTGATCTAAGGCATAATGCATGAGAGACCCTGGGGCCTTGTCTTTCACAGGTAGAAACAATAAATTGCTGATGTGAGTATCGCAGGGAGTGTCTTTGGAGTCAATATTGCATAAGATTAAGTCAGTTTTCACGTCAATATCATACATGTACAATTAGAGTAAGGCGTGTAGGAGACAACTATTATTCTCACCATTTTTTAAAAGTGATATGTATTTTATTTATTATGTTACATCCCTCTTACAAGATTTAAGTAGAATTTATATTTATTTATATTTTATTTTGCTTTATCCTTGATTGTAATGTTTAAAAAATTGTCTTTTACTCTGTATTGTATAGTAGCTGTATAGTAGCTGTACTTATTAGAATATTACTAATAAGGTCCAGAATCGTGTACATGATTTTCACAATTGCAGATTTTTAAAAAAAATTTTTATAGGGAATTAACCCTTTAAGGACTGAGCCAATTGTTCAAGTTCAAATCAAAACAAAACGTAATCAAAACCTTGAATTTGCGCTATATATATGTTCAACCATAATTCACCTCTTTCATATTAAATACACCCACACTTATTATGTATCATTTTGTTCAGGATAAACAGGGCTTTCATGTCACATCACATGTTTATGTAACATAACTGAAAATAAATAAAATATAAAAAAATATGTGAGAAATTTAGAAATGTTATTTTTTCAGTTCTGCATTGTATTTTAACAGTGAATGCCATAATACTGGTAGCTGTTACTGCAATAAAGTTCACATATTTGTATTCAGCGATGTCTCATGAGTAAAATAGTACCACCATGTATTGGTTTTATGGTGTTTTGGAAAGTTACAGGGTCAAATATAGCATGTTACATTATTTGGTTTATACACATTAAAATTTGCCAGACTGATTATGTTGCCTTTGAGACCGTATGATAGCCCAGGAATGAGAATTACCCCCATGATGTCATACCATTTGCAAAAGTAGACAACACAAGGTATTACAAATTGGGTAAGTGCAGTCATTTTTAGTAGCCACTTAGTCACAAACACTGGCTAAAATTAGCGTTCATATATGTTTGTGTGTGAAAAATGAAAAAACAAACACATTTGATTGCTTTACTTTCCACAAAATCCACACTGCTTAACAATTGTACCTCTAGATCAATGCTCCCAGCAAGTGTAACCTAGCAAGTGTAACCTTTCACAGATAGCCCTTCAAAATCCCATAACATGAGATGTAATCTTATTTTCTACACTCATAGAAGCACAATTCATATGTATGCATCAATGTAAAAGGCTAGAAAGGAGTATCGGCTCCACAGATGGACTGTGAGATGAAATTATAAAAAAAAAAAATCAAAAATATTCGTAAAAGTAGTTGGCAATCTATATGTAATTAACAGATAATGATAAAGTTAAAACCAGTGTGCCAGATACTTATTGAAGGAAACTTGTTTATCGAGTGACTTGTGAAAGTATGTTGACCTGAGGACAAATGCATTGGGCAGGGCTCTGTGCAGGTAAATGTCTTATAGATCGAGACAGGCTTTCAGAGCCTACAGGCCTACTGCCTTTCAGAGCTAATTAGTAGTAATTCTCCCCTTAGTGTAAAACCCCATGTGCATCTTCTTTTCTGCCCAATTGTTGTCGTAAATTATTGTAGGCCATCCATTTATTCGACTAAGTTTTTAATTACCTCAAGGGCCTCTGGACTTTTATTTAGTCTTTAATGAAGCTTTACACACATTGACAGATTATACATGTGATTAACAAATACATTGGTCAGTTCCTTATTATTAGCTCTCTGGTAGCACTCACATCCAGTGTTGTCACTGACATCAGTTGCTGAGCATCGGCCCCATTAAATTCCCTTGTCAAGTCCTCTTCTATTCATCTAATCTACGGTAGGTAACCTTTGATACTTCTGATGTTGTGGATTACATCTCCATTAATGTTCTTACAGCCATAATGCTGACAAAGCATCAGGGGGATGTAGTCCACAACATCTTGAGTGCCAAGGGTTGCCTACCTCTGATTTTAGCAATTGGGATATTGTACTCCAATATTATGTTAGTACTGAATACTATAATAAATTGCAACCTGACCTGATAATTACTACATTGTATTGTACAGTAGTGCTCAGACCAGATTGCTAGATCTGTGTCTAGTTTTTGTTTCTTTATTACAACATTTAGAGCTATTTTTATTTTATTTTATATTATGTAACTGTCTGGATTGGTATTTTTCAATATGCTTTATTTCAACCTATTTTCAGGTGTAACAATCACTTTTCTGTTGGTATAAGATTCATATGTGTACAGATTGAAGTTAATATTTGTTTTGTTAAGCACTATTCACTCATTATCTTTATTATTTGAACTATAAATTGGTTTGTGGTCACCTCTCCAATATACAGGTCAAACACCATAACCACCGTAAATCTCACAAACCGCCGCAGCTTGGTTGGGGTTTTGCCGTCCTCCACCCACCGTGGACCCAAGAACAGAATCCAGCTTTCACTGGGCAGATCTCTCCTAAACCAGAGAGTGTAGCAAGAACAGCTCTTATAAGAGCTAGTTAATATTCTCAGGGGAGTATTGTGATATAGCCATCCCCAGAGTGAATGTAGTCCTCCAATCCCCCAAACATGAGCCAAGACTTCCTGAAGGGGTAAACGAATCTCAATTTAATGGGAGCCACACTGAGCCTTTTATGACAATCCCCATGCATGGGTTACGCCCACATGGACCTTGCTGGAGACTGCAACACAAAGACACAGACCAATAAGAACAGTGATTAAATGCCCGACACTCCCATAACAAACATACAATCCCTCCTCCCTGCTTGGGAGATAATTGGATAAGTAACTGTACTAATTCTAATCCAATTATCTCCAAGCACAAAAAAAACCACTTTTTTTTAAACACCTCAAAAGTACCCTAAAAATACATAAAACCCCACAAATGTTACATCCCCTGATAGCCGTGATCTGGGTGACCAACATATCCGAAAATCACCCAGATCAGTTCAGGGGTTCAGAAATTTTATGGAAGTCATAGTTTTTACAGACTGCAGGCATGGTGCCATAGCCGAAAATAGTGTCATAGAATCGCGGCTAAGTGCCGCTGGAGAACCGACTGAGCAACCGCGAGGTTTTCATGCCTAAAATAGTTCCAGGGCATTCGCGGCTAAGTCCCCTTGAAGTCTATTTGCGGTTTTGGGCCATGCGAACAAGATGGCCGCCACCTTGTGGTCGGCCATAGGAATTGCGGCCACCCAGACGAACACTTAGCCCACAGAGGTGCAAATTGCAACAATGTATCAATTAAGCTTAACGTGTCGGATCTTTCAGTGTACAACTTTTGTGTTCTAACCCGGGAGTCGCAAACGTGTCAGATCTTTCAGTGTACATCTTTTGTGTTCTAACCCAGGAGTCACAGAACGTGTCGGATCCCGTTCGTGTGGCTAGGTCCCCAGCGGCAGGCTGAGCTACCGGGGGCAGAGACGGTCGGTCCTGCTCCCCAACAGCAGTGTGTGTTACAGGGTTTAGCCATAGGACTGTCATTGACACGGGGACCGAAGACAGGGTTACAAATGCTGCCACCTGGTGGCGTTCGGCTATACGAACCAGCGGCCACCCAGGGCAAGCACACACTGCTTGTACCCTTGCGGTCTGCGGTTTTCACACCTCATTAGTGAGGTGTGAACATTCTAACCACACATTCGAAATGGAGTATTGGGGTGGTCCCCGCATGGCTGAAAAGTAAAATGCATCCTACATTGTAAAAATACAAGGAGAAACACACAAATAAAACAATTACATACAGATACATGGAGAACCATAGAGTACAAGGGGAATTGGTGGGAATAGACACTGGGGCACACAATACAAGGCAAACACATAGGCACATATAGTGGGCATGGTACTTAGTGGTGGTGTCCCGCCACATATGCTACACTCACATATTGTCACTCCAAAAACAGGAATGTTTAAAGGAAAAGAGCTTCATTTAGACTAGATATTATGAGATTTCACCTACAGCACAGGAAATGGGTCTTTGTAATATAAACATAAAGATATAGAATTGCCTGCCCAAAACCAAGGACACTTCTTGATCAAAATCAGTAGTTTTGTTTGATAGCTGGTTATTTAATACTGTAAAAGCGAAGATAAATGGAATTGCTGCTTTAGTGTCAAGAAAGTTTTTTCTTGCTAGCAACAATTGTAAAATTTCACATTTGTGAAAAGCTGAATTCCATAGGCAAAGCTAATATTTCAATATACATAACTGTGCAACTATACATTTATCTTATAAGTTGCCCATGTCTAACCTAAAATGGATATATACGTGATAAGATCCAAATGTACTTTGAAAAGCAGTTGCAGCTATGTGATTATGTGATTAGATCATGTCCTAAAATAGACAATGTTCTCTTCAGACAAAACCAATGGTATATAATCCCAGTGTATGGGGCATTTATTTATTGTGATAAATGAAATATATTTTTTCTTAAGCGAGACCTCACTTCTATGCCATGCTAACCACTAACCACTAATTAATGCTTAGTTTCACTATATAAAGATAGTATGTAAACTCACCAATAAAACCTGTTAGTTAAGTCTTGTGCTCATGTACATTTAAAGCTCCATATCCTCAGGCAGGAGAATTACTCAGAAATATTGTGTTTTCTCCGTCGTGTGAGTTACTGTAAATGCATTCTGTGATTTGGGAAAGCAAATGATTAAGAAATTAAAGAATATGATTGGAATTATTCTCATAGTTTCTTACATTTACTGTACAATTATTTTCATTAGAATTTATGTTAGTTTTGTGCATGTTTTATGTCAAGAAACTATCCTTATTGCAGGAAATAAAGATCCAAAGTTTATTAAATACCAACAAGTTCATTTTTTTCATTTTACTAATTTATTTTTACAGTTTTTCTGTTTTAATTTGAAAATATATGAAAATTATAAAGAACATTTGATACATGCTACAGAAAATAGACAAATAAAATCTCATTCAGTTCATAAAAATATATTAAAAAAAAGTATCATCCTAAGGTTTTGAAAAATGTCAACCTCTATTCAGAAAACTGTTGAAAACTCTTGACATTTTTAGTCGTTCAATAGTGGGTCACCCCGGGAGTCGCAGAAGGTGTTGGATCTTTCAGTGTACAACTTTTGTGTTCCAACCCTGGAGTCGCAGAACGTGTTGGATCTTTCAGTGTACAAATTTTATGTTCTAACCCGGGAGTCGCAGAACGTGTCGGATCTTTCAGTGTACAACTTTTGTGTTCTAACCCGGGAGTCGCAAACGTGTCAGATCTTTCAGTGTACATCTTTTGTGTTCTAACCCAGGAGTCACAGAACGTGTCGGATCTTTCTGTGTACATTTTTTGTGTTCTAACCCTGGACTCGCAGAATGTGTCGGATCTTTCAGTGTACAACTTTTGTGTTCTAACCCGGGAGTCGCAGAATGTGTTGGATCTTTCAGTGTACAACTTTTGTGTTCTAACCCGGGAGTCGCAGAACATGTCGGATCTTTCAGTGTACATCTTTTGTGTTCTGACCCGGGAGTCGCAGAATTTGTCGGATCTTTCAGTGTACATCTTTTGTGTTCTGACCCGGGAGTCGCAGAAAGTGTCGGATCTTTCTGCGTACATCTTTTGTGCTCTGACCAGGGAGTCGCAGAACGTATCAGATCTTTCAGTGTACATCTTTTGTGTTCCAACCCGGGAGTCGCAGAACGTGTCGGATATTTCAGTGTACATCTTTTGTGTTCTAACCCGGGAGTCGCAGAACATGTTGGATCTTTCTGTGTACATCTTTTGTGTTCTAATGTTTTTAACTCTGTAATGATATGTTGGTCCCATGAAAGTGTCATGTAGTGAACTGATCTTTGTTTGTTTTCAGTCTGTTAGTACTGATCACTATCTTGTTTGGGCAAATCTGTTCCAATACTTTTGCTTTCACTTTTCTAGAGTCATTGGAGAAGATGAGCTTTGGGCAAACCATTATTTACTTAATACATGTACATATTGCAGGGCCGATAATCTTATTGGAACATGTTCATGTGAAATCGGGTTATGAATAACAAAATATCCAGATTCCAACAACTGAAATGGTTTACATATACATTTTTAATAACGTATTAATCTCGTCTGTCTCCTATGCAGAAAATATTTTCCTGTGAGCCTTTGCCTTGCTTTCCTGAATGACTTCTAATAAATATTTTAGAAAAATGAAAAAAAAAAAAATGTATCATGCAAGGGATATATAAGGCACTGTGCTTCATTTTATCCATAACAATGTCTTCTGTTCAGAATCCTTACTCTTACTTTGGCACTGCAATAGAAAACACAAAACTATGGAGGAGTAAAATAGTTCATATTGATTACAGCTTTTGTTAATTGTGCTAATTTCACCCTTTAGTGTTAACCAATCATATTACTATAATCGCAAAGTTCTCTTTTAAAGAATTAAAAAAAAATTATATGGGGAAACATGTTCTAATATGAGTGGGGGGTGTCGATGGACACAGGAGCCAAAAAATTACTAAGGCCAGTAATTTAGATTTAATGACTTGGTAATTGGGTTTGTCAGTTTTTATCTGAGGGAAATTGCAATACTCACCAAATTTGAATCCTTTATATTGGATGGAGGAATCAGTAAGAAATTGTAGAAGCAATTAATTTTCAATTAAAGTAATAGAGCAAGGATATCAAATAAAAGAAAATTTTCCTATCAGTGGAGAGTCAGCATCTGGCCCATTATAAACTGACAGAGAGTCATGGATGCACATTGAATAGAATATGCGCTCAAGCTCAAAGTCTTATGAAGTCAAACATATATATAGGAATCAAAAACAAACAATATGTTTTAGTACAGTGCATTTCACAAAAGTCAAAGATAGGTGTGTTTTACTGATAGCTAATTAAGCTAATTCTTCAAATTGTCCTTTTCCACCGGTTTTTTGAATCCTGAAAATCAAGCCTTTTTTCTTTTTTTAAATTCTTTATTTTTGCAGCACATAAAGAGAAACATACAAGCCTGCAATGCCCCAACAGTCATGGCAAGAACAGCAACAATAATAGTACAATAAACATGTGGCATTACGAGATTACAGCGCTAATTTTATATTTTAGTAGTAGACTCAGGCTAGGCACATATGTCTAAGGTGATTGGGTTAAACTAGGTTAATAAGCTAGCAAGACTGTCTAGACGTGGGAGTAGTGTTCAAATTACAGTAGTTAGCATGACAAGCTAGAGCTAAGCCTTCTACCCCTGAATGAGATTTCATCAATATATATGTAAGTTGCTTAGGAGTAGGAAAAGGCTATGTGCCTCTTATTACCATATACGAGTTTAAAATCTAAAGTGAAAGAGGTTGTTACCCACTATGCTGGTTGTTATGTGGCTCAGAGTTAAGTTGGTGGGTATGAGAGGGGGAGAAGCAAGGGACCTGAAATCCCCCATGCCAACGGGAAGATGTGAATTTTCTGTGGCTCCTCACAAGGTTTAAGGTATACAATGTAGGTAATCCTGAGAACTAAAATTCTGAAGGCTACTTAAACATTAAACAAAAAAAAACAAAAAAAACAAGAAAAAGAGAAACAATAATTGCTGCTTGTATACAAAGAACAATTAGGCAATCAGGCAATCTAAGGGGATCTGGGATTTCCCTGTTGGGCAGCCAGAACAAATGGGTGAACTGCAGTAATGTCCCAGGTGGTCAGTTGATTCGGGTGTGCATCGGGTGTGCGTGAGATTGCGACTTCGTGTCAGCAGGTGCAAGCCCAAGTTGTTGAAGGACACTAGCTATTCCAGAGGCTTCTTTAAATTTTAAAGTCCCAAAGTTGTGCAGTCTGAGAAGGCATTTCGGTGTCCCCCACTTATAGAGCAGCTTATGTTTGACGAGTTTGGAAGTCAGGGGTTGAAAGGACCTACGGCAGTCCATAGTGGCTCTGAATATGTCGTAAAGAACTATAGCGAGTGTTCTTTAAAATGGTAAGGAGATTTGTTGCGGACCGCAGACATGAAGGATTGTCTATCCGGACTATGTAGAAAGCATATGATTACATCCCCACTAACACCTGATGAGGTAGCCTGTCGTAAGTATTCTGTAGCAGTTATCCAAAGTCATAGCCTTGGCTTGTTTATGGGAAATAGGCAGGTGAGCAATCTCCCGAAGAGGTGGGGGATTTCAGCCGCAGTGACATTCTCTGCTAGGCCCCGATTCTTAATGTTTGTCCAAAGCCTGCGTTCCTCCATATTTGCCATGTGGTACTGGGTTTGGGTCAGACCTTGCAAAAGAGCAGCCAACTACAGGTCAGTAATGCGGACCTCTTAGTCTGTGGTGATAATTTCTGTGTTATGGAGGCGTGCGGAAACCCTTTGATCTCTTCTGTGACGAAGTGCCCTTCGCCACTTGTGCCTGGAGAGGACTAATTGCCAGCCTCTTGCCCTGTGACTATAGCCCTGGGGTGTATGGCCCTTTAAAAACAGTATTTGGGCTTATTGGATTTTGGGACACTTTTTCTGCTCCTTTGAATCCATGGGAAGATTTGCCTCTCCCCTCCCCTGTTTCCTGTCCCATTGTTCTCCAGCAGGGCGTTGCCCCATGGACACTGCCAGACCAGTTGGAACTGGCTGCTTTGTCCCTCCTCGGTCTCTCAACTAACTTTTAACCCACTGGAGGGAATTTTCTGCATTTTGAGTATGTTTGTATTTGAAGTATGCTGATTCTGAAAATGCAAGTTTTACTTTTAAAGTATACCCTTGAGACATGTCCAGTTAGTATGGCTGCTGGTTCCGCACCCCGAAAATCAAGCTTTAATAAACAAGAGCAACTGTAGGAGAATCTTTTTTCACTTTACAAAACATTTGGTATAATTGATGACCATAAATTACAAAATTGCAGCCAAATTGGCACAGTTGGAGTGTTTTTATATCAGACCACATGTTGAATGTTATTTTACAGCATTGTAACTCAATTATCTCTCAGTAACAGGGAACCATACAGAAAATAGACAAAACACCCTAAACCTACATTCAAACTACACAGGAACACCACAAGTCTTTTATCTCTGAATAGTCAAGCGCCCAAGTTGTCCAAATAGTGATCAGATCCATTCAGTGTAGCAGAATCACCATTCGAGTAAAGTTCTTACCGGCCGGCCACAAGGTGGTAGCCCAAAACAGTTTCGGGGAAAAGGGGCAGCGGTGTTCCTGTGCAAACACCAACGAATGCTCCCCCTGGCTCTTAGGGAGCGGTACTGTAACGGATCACCTGGCACCCCGACTGGGTACTTCCATTGAAGGATGCTCCTAACGCTTCCTGAGGGCTCCAAGCTCTCCACCAGAGACAATAACCACCGCAGACCACACAAACCGCCTAAGCTTGGTTGGGGTCTCGTCGTCTCCTACCCACCCTGGACCTACGACAAGGCTCCAGGTTCCAGTGGGTGAACCTCTCTTTCCCCAGAGAGCAAAGCAGAACAGGAACAGGTACAAGCTCTTACAAAAGCTTAGTGATTATAGCAAGGGAGTATGAAGAGCATAACAATCCCTTGTAGCAGATTCCACCAATAAGAGACAGGACTCTAAATTGAGGGTGAAGTAGAACTGAGGGTTTAATGATACAGCTGCTTCTTTTATACAGTTTTCCCCCACAAGGATACCGCCCACATGGACCTTGTGCCCACCCACAGGACACAAAGTTACAAAAGCCAATAGAAACAATAATTAACACCGAAACACTCCCACTTACAGTCCGCAAGCCCTCCCCTCTGCCTGTGATATAATCAAGCTAACTAATGGAATAACTTAATTATCCACAGGCAGAAAAAACATTTATACAAACCCCAAAAAGTACCCCAAAATACAACATATCCCCATAAATGTTATATCCTGATCTGAGTGAACAACATATCCAAAAATCACCCAGATCAGAGCAGGGGTTCAAAAGTTCCATGGAAGTCACATTTGACCGACCGCACACCCATTTTCATGCCCAAAACAGTTCCAGAGAATTGTGCAGTGCGGCTTGTCTATTTCCCATATTAAATGCAGTTCAAATAGATGAACGGCAACCGTTCGTGCAAATGTCCATGCTAAAGTGCCGTTCGAATTGTCGAACGGTGTTCAACTCTAGTCGAAGAGTAGAAGTTCAGAGAAGGTAAAGTTTATCAGTGTTCATGCTGTCGAGTGTTCGATTTGAGTTCCATGAACTCGACGACCAAACACCGCTGAACAGTGTTCGACTAAACAAAATGGCTGCCACCACGTGTTCGTATGTTGACTGGCGGCCACTTCGACTACTTCTGCACTTCGGCTGTTTCCAAAGTGCCACTTCAAAAGTGCGAAACCTTTCCAGTAGAGTTTAAAGGGGCAGAAACAGCCTTTTTAAATCCAATGTGCCCAAATAGTGCTTTTAAAGGGCAATACATCCAGGGGCTATAGTTACAGGGCAGGAGGAGGGCAAGCAGGCTCCTCCAAAAACTCATGGCAAACTCCTTTAAAAGGGGGAGTTTGTCACAGGTACAGTTTTCCCGAGGTTCGTGGGATTGCGTTTCTGAATAGAGTTCCAGACTCTCAATGACCTTGTACCGCTGCATGCATTCGGTAGACAAATTGGCCACCATTCACCAGGGCACGTGTGTTCGGTTGGTACTTGAGCTAATTAATCCTTTGAAGTTAACAAGCCAGGGGTTGAAAAAAATAGGTCTTCGTTCGGGAAACGAACAAGGGGGCATACAAACAACCAAATGGACGCGGGAACAAGTCTGGTACAGTACTTACCTGGGATAACACATCACAGAGTAAT